CATTGGACAGAAAACAAGTTACTTTTCAAGATTGAATTTAACTCATATTGGTTATCACTTTTTAATTAGGAGCTACCAAAGTTGGGTACACTTTTTGTATACGTACTAAATGGCACAACAGTATCAAAAATTATATTACTGTCACAACCACAATTAAGGTTTGCGTCACCTTTGAAACATGCGAACAGAGCAGTATCACATACTATCACATAGCATGATTTCTATACGCCGGGCAATACGATATGACATTTAGAGTTAATTCTTCGAAAGTCCTTGCGATTGTGTTTTGTTTGAATGTCATAACTGAGGTATATACTACTACGGTGGAAGGGGGCTGGTGTTACAGTTCTTCTTCTTTTGTCAATACATACCACAGATTTATACAATAATTTGGCTATAGGTTTCTCTAGAGCTCGATCGCTCCGCTCCCTCGCACAATACAACAACATGTAAAGCCCCTCATTGCAGGTCTTGTTATTCTTTGTGTATCATCTTTACAAAGACACAGGCTTGATAATGTGAAAAAACGAGTTTCAATTGGCCCTATATACCAAAGTGTCTAAATTAACGATTTGAAGCTGCCTTACACCATTGAGAGAATGAAGAAAGGGACGGTCATCGAAAGTGATGAAACTACGTAATACACATTTTCTTGCTTGTATTTCACCCATGTTTGTACTACCAGGAGATTGCTAGCAATAGCTAATAAATCGAAATGTTCTTGATATATATATATATATATATATATATATATATATATAATATGATGAATTCTAGTAAAGTATAACATTGTGGATCATACGGTCAGGCTTCTTTTGACAATGGTTCTGGTACCATCCAAACATATGCTTCAATGAATATTTATCATAAAGCTAAAAATAATAAGCTGTTATAGGAGGTTGTGTCTTACAATCTGTGTCTGTAAATTGAATATAATATACAAATAAGCAATTTAACTTTTGAGAAATCTTTAGAATAACTTGAAGTCTTATTGAAATTTGAAGTTTAGTTAGATGAAATTGTACTTCACTGGCCCCTACTGTACACATATTTCTGTTATTCCCCAGTATTTCTTAGGGAAATCGCCAACCATGCAATGTTGTGTTCCTGGGTCTCGACTCCACGCCCCTCCCCCCCGAGAAAAAATTGCAACAGAAGCACATTGCAACACAAATCATCCCCCAATTTCTTCTAGAACTGAGCCTTCGGGCATGTTCAGCACCCCGCCTCCCCCATATAAAAAAGTACTCTGTGGTCCCTATACTAATGCTACTACTACTACTACTACTACTACTACTACTACTACTACTACTACTACTACTATTACTACTACTACTACTACTACTGCTGCTGCTGCTGATGCTACTTCTGCTACTACTACTTCTATAATGATACCATGCAATAAGTTACATCGATTAAGGAAATATATAATAGAGTACGTCATGACAAATAATTTCTTTATGACTTAGTGGACAGTTCATACCCCCAATACAGTTTTACCTAATATTACAGCTGGAAAAATTACCACAAGAGCAATCAGATTACAGAAGATAAAATTAATCTAGATAAAAAAAAGTATTCAGATAAACAGATGTGACTGTCACAGCGTCTCTCTAAAAAGGATAAACTTAGGGAGGGAGGAATATTTACCAAAGATAATGATTGACCTTAAAACTTTGTTTATCATTATCATTATCATTGTCGTGGTCGAGTGGTTTAAGGCGCTTGAATGGAGATGCGAAGGTCGAGGGTTCGAATCCCGACACGGCACTAATATCCTTTGGCAAGATATTAACCTGCACTTGCTACTCTCCACCCAGGTGTCAAATGGGTACCCGGTAGGATGCGGCCGTCTCTGTTCGTCAAACAGCTTGTGAGCGTCAAGTAACCCCAGCTGGAATGCTCCCCAGGGAGTGGAGATTGTGCACACAGTGTGTGCGGGCAAGCACTGAATTCAATGACCGGGGTAATAGTATATTTGTAAAGCGCTTAGAGACATTTGTATTAAGCGCTATATAAAAATTAAATATTATTATTATTATTATTAAGTCATTGTTGAATTAAAAAATTGCTCTCAGCCAATCTAATGCGACTGTTTTCTGCAGTAGCTAACATCACTTACTGTGACTTTATTTATTATTTTAAAAAAAGCATGAAACAGGGCCCAGGTATGACACCAAAAAAGCAATAATGTGATTTTAATCAGTATTTCCCTTAAGCTAGCGCTACCGACTTTTGTTCTGTTTTCAAACGATTTGTTGTACAGTATTGATAACTAAAAACCATAATCCATACCTAGCTGAAGTTTTAACACACATCTTTAAGGAATATGTGTATACACTTTAACTATTGTTTAGAATTATCAATGTTTTTACTTTCTGAGTGAACCAGACCAGAAAACTTGTATGCATCAGTAATGGTGATAATTCAGAAAACAGCAAAACTCAGTTTACAACACATTTGCCTTTCCACAACATTTTCTTACTTTTATAATATTAACAATTCTGCGTTTATACATCAACAACGTCTCTAAGCACTTTACCCAAGTCATCGCACTTCTGCTTGCCCGCCAATGTATGTTCATTCTTACAATAAATACAACGTGGCATAAATAAAGAATTAAAGAAGATAGATTTGACATGCTGGATAAGTAAACTCAAACATATGTTGTCTTCCTATAGGTTTCCATGTTATCTAAAGATAACTGATTACATGTACTTATAATGGTGTCAGGCTAACTATATGCACACACTTACAAAAAAAAAAGGAATTGTCATATGTAGACACTGCATGTACATCTCGCAGGGGCATGTTTCACCAACTAAAATTGATTTCGATTTTAAGATCAAATTTAAGACTTGATGAAACACCCCTAAGACAAACATGTTTTCACACCAACCATATGCAGCATGAAAAACATTTGCTTGCAGACCAACTACAATGCATGTGCAACAAAGAAAACACATGTTCGCAGACAAACTTTATGCATCAAGAAAAAACAAAACAAAACAAAATTATATTCATTCATAGATCAGCATGATGTACCAAGAAGAAAAAAATTCCAGATAAACAATGAGACAAAGAAAAAATACAAATACGAAGTACAAATTTGTCATCAGCTCAGCTATATATCTGCAGAAAGATAAACACAATCGTTCTCAGACCAACTCTATGCATCCAGAAAAACACACATTTGTTTCAATATCAGGTTTATGCACATCTGTTACCAAAGTCCGCCATTATTGGGAATCTTTCCTCTGCTGAATACGTAACACATCACAATGTAAATTAATACCTACATTTTATACACAAAATGAGTGGTGCACATCAAATTCAATTTTCAAGAAAATTTTGCTTTAATGTATATCCCAATCATAGAAACATAGTAAAGCATTTACTTGCAAATGTTGAGTTGCAAACATAAATAACAAATAAGTATACATGTATTGGCAAGAAAATGGATGTCCGTTTCAATCTACATGTCGGGATATATTTACATTTGGTACCTGACTTAACTCAAAATAGAGATGACATTTCTTTGCTAAAGAAAGTTACAACTTTCATATGTGAAAATTCAATTAAGAAACTTCAATCTAGATAATGGTGAACATTTATCTTATCTTGTAATTCACAACTGAACAATTTAAGACTGAATCTAAAGTAGCTCATGCTGTATGGTTTTGTCTTTCATTACTTCTCCAATAACTGGTATACATGGTTCAAAGGTTCATTATCTGAGACATCTGTCTGATTGTTCGAGATACACTTTTTGGTACCTTCATCAGAGAGTATAATGAAAACATGATTCTTTAACTCCTGTAGTAAATACTGGTAAAAATTTGATGAAAAGGAGAGAACTATAGAATCAACTGATTGAAAGCCATATGTAAACACAACACATTACAATGAATAATGATACAACACAATCTTGTTTTAAACAAGGTGGTTTTTGTATCCAACTTCTCTGTCATCTATTTTTTCCCTTTGAATTCCCGACACCATAGGGATTCCATATAACAAGGATTATTTAGGAGAAACAAATTTGTAAAAACAAGGTTCCACTTAAAGAAGGAATAGAATATATTAAAGGCAGTTGGTAACTTGGCTTGTTATCTAAAATGATATTTGCTGAACTCACACCTGCTGTTCATAGATATAAACACTATACTTTTACGACTAAAAACTGAAATGTCAAAGCCTTTCACTTCTTTTAAAATCATATATGTGATTGAAATCTCAAACACAATGACTCACAAGCTCTATTGGACATATATACATCATATACACACACAAGTCAGAGCATTGCTCATTGCCGCCCTGTGAGAAGTTCTGCGTAGGGTGACTTTGGCATATTGTTGTCATGCCGAAAGTCATAACTATGGGAGTAGCTTCACTGGAGCATTGCTAAAGCTTGACGAAGGAATGCATCCACTGCTAAAAATCAAATTTCGCTTTTGCATACTACTTACTGAGCACAGTTTTCTTTTCTACAACTTTCTGACTTGCCTCTTAAAAAAAATTCTAGACCACATGTAGATTCAAACAAACAAAACATTTTTTGTTCATTCTATTTGCACTGTTACCAAATGGCTTTGATATTTGGGATTATCTTTACCCCATCACAAAAGCCATTGATTCTGAATAAAAGTAAGGTACATAAGAATATCGATACATACCAGAAAAATTTCGCTAAAAGCTCAGGGCCTAATTAAAAAATATCTACCCCCCCTGAAAAGACCTTATGCAGCCATGAATCTTTTGATGCAGTTAGCCCCTGAGGAAAGAAAATCCCCCACTCAAAGATTTTCAAAATCTGTACCTCATTCTGAAAACTTCATTTTTATTCAGCTACGTAGAACAAAATGAGAGAATTCTATCAAATGTTTAAAAGTAAAGAAGCATCAATAGCCTTGAACCTAATTGGTCAGGCGTCTAATAGTTTCTATATAAGGTATAAGTAAAAGAAAAAGAAAACCACAAAATAATTATAATCTAAATGTTTGCTATGTAACTGATGCTTTTAATATAAATAATAACTACATGAATAAATAATTTTTGACAGGAAAAAAGGTCTAGATGAAACTAAAGTATTTTTCTTTCCAGTGTGGCAGAGTTTTCTTTTGTCAATCTTTATACATTTTTTTGATCGGCATATTCTGTCTACAAATTTCTCTTTGGGTAATCATATAAATGCAAGACCTTCTAGCTGAAATTTTGGGAGAGGAGAGAGGAAAACGGAGGGGATGGCAGCCCCAGTCTTGAATGGACAAATGTCCTGGTCTTTCTTCAGTCTCGAAAGAAGAACTTCTTCACTGGCGTCACAACTGCCCTGCAAAGAGAGAAACCGAGAGAGAAAGAGAGAGAGAGAGAGAGAGAGAGAGAGAGAGAGAGAGAGAAAAATGGGAAAATTAATAAGTTAGCATTCTTCAAACTTTGCCAGGGCAAACAGAGGCTGGTCAAATGTCGTGACTGGGATTTGTCCTGGGTTCAGAAATTCAACAGCTTGGCTCTCGACATCCATGCCATGCTCAATCATAGCAGGAGTTGCAGACTTCTCATAAAAGAGAGGAAGGAGTGCACATTGTGCTGGAGGGTCTTCTACCAAAGGTTGATTAGAGCCCTGTACCAAAAATAACTGCAAACCAATGTGATCTGTCATGATATCTAACACGGGGGCTCTGGTATGACGCCCCCACCCCTAAAACACACCTATATAAATGTTTTGTTGGGGGCTCCAACCCTAACATCGTTTAGTAGGTCCTGTTTTTTTGTTTTACCTTATATATTATTAGGGGGGGGGGGGAGGAAGCCCTGTACCAAAAATGGCGCTTTTGTCCACCGTGTAATGATAATTTTGCTAAGCCACCTGACTAAAAAGAGAGGGCAGAGAGCTTTCTGGTCAAATCAAAATCATGATAAACATACTGTTTTGAGAAATGAAACAACTAGTGAAATTATTAAATGGTACAAGGTACATAACAATCTCTTTAGAGTAGTCGATTAGAAGAGTTTGGCCAACTCAGTTTGAGTTGGGCACAATATGGCGATTACTGCTTTGTTGGGCAAGCAAAAAATAGAAGAATATACACCATGTTGTGACCGACTGAAACCAAGTTGGCCAAACTCTGTGTATAAATGGCTCTGACAGGGTCTTTCTGTAAAACAGTACCCTTCGACAGAACCACCCAACTGTTCCATCAACTTACTCAAACATGTTATGGATTAATCCTCCTCTGTCATTGGGCTGTTCCTCTGCTTTGGCATCCCCTACTGGACTGGCCATCTGCTGGAGCCTGAGCTGCTCCTGCAGGACGTGTTGCTCCACCCGCTCCCTCCCAGGATGTCCTGGGACACCCACCCTAGCTGCTCCTCCATCTACAGAGGTTAGAGGTCAGAAGAAAAAGAGTGACTGGAGGAAATCGCACTCATCTTGCAAGAAAACGTAACCTCCTATGCCTTGCTCAACTATGATGAGGCAAAACTGTGGCAGATGTTTCTATGATGATGTAAAATGTTAAACGCTTCACATTCCTACATATTATAATGCATAGCTTAGGATCTTTGTTGCCATTCATTTACACAAACAAAAAAACATTAAAAAAATTTGCGGTGGCTTGCCGCATATCTGAAAAAGTCCTGAGTGCTCCCTAAAGGCTTGTTCGTTTATGGCATGGTAAATCGCTGCAAAAAAAAAAACCCTCACCATTTTTGTAAATGAATGGCAACTGCACACAACAAATGGCTGGCATGTATTCACTGATCTCTGCATTATAAAATACAGACATTAGAAGGGTATTAAAGATAAACTTGAGTTCTGGTAAAAAAAAAGAAAATTAATTCTCACAGAATCAAACGAAACTTACACTGAATGTTCAAGATTACAAATAAATGACATGTGCCAAACAATTTTGGAAGAAAATGTATACTGGCTGAGTAACGAGCATAGAAAGACAAGGAAATCAAGGTAGTACCAGCCCCGACACCATGTGTGTTGTCCCATATATAGCTTTCTGTGTCAGTGCTTGTTACTTTACCAAGACTCGGTCAAATTTATTATGATTTTGATGACTCCAGAACCTTGCAGTGCACACCAATACTTACAGGCTACATGATCAACTGTTTCTGTTCCTTTCCACACCTTTTCTTACACAATGCAATCGCATTACCAGTACTAAAGTTTATCTTTAAACTTTACGTCATGTCTTATCTGAATGAGCCTTTAGGTGATCAACACTTGCTCCACTCTTCATTTCATCAATGATATCGGGTTAAACTTGAGTTGCAAGTTAAGTTACATTTACGTTACATTTACGTTACATTTAGCATCTGGGCCAGGATTATAGGAAATAGTCTGAGCACTACTTTTTGTAAACACTTCTTATTCATCTCCTTGCTACATATATCAACTCTTTTAATCTTCTGTTCATACTCTGATAATTGTCCCGAATAGATTATGGATCATACACAATGTACAATGCAATTTTTTAATAATTTATAGATGTGCATTGAACAGTGAATAGAAATTAGTTAACATGTTAAACATTGAAAGGAAGGAAGAAAAAAAAAATCAAACATTTTCCAGATCAAAACTTTAGAGTAGTTAATACTCCATCTTCAAATTTGTGTTGTATATGTAAAAAAGAAAAATCAGCAAAATAAAAAAACAAAAACAAACAAACAAACACACAAACATGTACGTATAAACTCACCCGATGGCCTGGCAGGCATAGGCCCCTGGTCTCCAGTGCATTCAACATGGCTCTGATCCCTATCCGCAGATTCATTTGCCCTTGGAAATCTTTCTGGACCCTTCAAAGTCACATGGAAAGAAAAAGTAAACAAATGCATGTATGTGAATGCAAATTCATTGTGTGTTGCATTCATTCAATGATTATGTAGAGAAACATACTCATTGCCTTTAATCAGAGTATGATGCATGTACTAGGCAGACATGGAACAACAATCTAATAGAAACAACAATTCCTGAACTTGATACAAAACATTGTTAAGTTGTCAATGAATATTACAGTTTGCTGTTATGAAAACCTACAGGTTTAGTCCTCATTATGTATGATACTGGTAGTGAAAAGGAGAAACCAACACTAAATATTCAACACAGAGAAAAGAATACCTACAAATGTACACATTTTCTGAACCAAGAAAAACAAGAAAACACAACCACTAATTCAACGATAAAAAATAAATAAACAAAAAAAAAACCAAAAAAAAAGTTAAACTAACAAGTGTTATAAAACAACTGGATTAAGAAAACTTTATTTCTCAGAACTGTTGAGATTCTAGTATTTCTGCAATGAACTGAGTATAAGTAAAATTCTGCAAAAAAATTTCAGAGTAAAATCAAACTTAATCTGAGAGCCAGAAAGGCATAAACTTGTGTACCGGGATATGAGTTACACCCCTTTTCCTCTAAGCAGAGGGTTTCTTGCGTTTGCACCATACCCATCCCCTTTTCCTAGAAAACATGTCTTCCTCCCCCACCATTCTTCTCTTCCTCTATATGCCTCCTCAAATCTCCTCAAATCTGTACAACTTTAAAACTTACCAAAATAAACCTATTACTGCAACTAATGAAAACGAACTAGTTCAAGTGGGACCCACATAACATGATTATAGGAACGGTAAACTACCGCTGCTGCTTGAACACAATTCATTTCCATTGCATCCCACCCCTTTCTGCATATCTTTATCAAAACTACCAATTAAACCAACCGGAATTTAAAAATCAAAATTAACAAAAAAATTAATATATGGAACTGTTGTCAACACATCCTAACACTGCAGTTACAACAGAAGTCAACTCCAACACATCCACTTACTTTTCAATTCCATAGCAATTATAAAAATTTAAAAATCCAAACGATAAACTTTAAAATCAAACTCATCAAAACAACTTTTTTTTTCTGGACTTGTTGACAGTACAACCTACCACGGCAGCCTTCCCTTGCACCAGCCTACTAAATCCCGACTCTAACTCAGGTGAACGTTCCCTCTTCTGTCTCTCTATATCTATCCGATCCCTATTCCTTCTACCTGTCTGTTCATCCCAACCATCTAACATCCCTGCTTCATCTAATCGTTTATCATCTGGTGGGATTGTGTGGCTACCTCCTCTCTGCAACATGTTGCTGTTGTTGCTCGTGTTGTTGCTGGTGGTGACCCTCAGGGCACGCTTCCTCAGGATGTAGCCTGGCTTGTTGGAGCTGGAAGCAGAGCCGCGTGATGGTGCCATGCGCCGGTTTGAGCGTCGGGGAGAAGAGGAGCTCGATATGGGTCCCTCTTGAATGAGTTTCCTCTTTGGTCTATAACAGTTAGGAAAAAAAAAGAGATTATTATTCTAAACATCAATTAATTATAATGCTAGTTACATCTTTACACTGTAAATTCAAACCTGTCATTCAGGGGAAATAAAAAAGTGGCCATTGTAGCCAGGTAGCAATTTTTATTCGGCTTCTAAAAAAAAAAAATCCTGAAGAGAGACAATATAAATGACCCCTATGAGACAGTTGGCCTAACAGAAACACGACAAGAAACTACCGGTAGGCTAGGACAGGTTTGGATGTACTTCAAATTCGATGACAGTTTTACACGTTGAATGAAATGTCATCATCTGACTACTGACAAGATAATGAACAAGAGCCACTCCCGTCACCCATCCTCTCCAATCGGCGCTATAGTTCTCCTTAGAGCTATAAGCTAAGAAAGATAACCAACAGTCTTTTTCAAAACTACACCAACAGTCCTTTTCAGGACTATACACCCCCAAGAAAGACTACCAAGAGTCCTTTTCAGGATTCCTCAATCCTTCCTCTCTCTCACATGGTGTAACCGCAAGTTAACTGTATAATGAACAACTTGTTGCTAGCATTTCTTTTAGTAACGAGTGGTCTCACAAATAAAAAAATTCTAAACCTGTAATAAAAGGCTGTGATAAGCCTATGGGAATGAGAGAAATCAGGGAGGGGTTAAACAAAATAAAAGATTGTAAGAGAATTTGAGAAGATCAGGACACTTGAAAACCAGATCTATTTGTTTTCTAGTTCCTATTGTACCTTTTGCTTTGTTCAGTTGATTTAGATGGCGATGACGATCGTTCAGCTTTCCTCTTGTTTGATTCCATGTCCTCTTCCTGTGTATAAGATGGAAAAGCATAAATATATATTAGATACATGGCTTTTAAAAACCTGATGCAGTATATTTGAATTTTTAAATATTTCAATCTACAAGACAGTTTCGTTTAATTATTCATTGATCATGAAACATTCTGCAGCATCATGGAGCACAGGTCGTTTACCCTTTCCCCTTCTATTTGGAGACAATCATTTCTATTCTGAGAAACATTACATGAAAAGGACCCTCCTCAATAACAGTATGTTCCTATGATAACCAGTGTGAATCATAATTATTAATACTAGTCCCATTTATGCATTTCTGTGTTTGGCTGCCAAATTATAGATAGACAAAGAACATGCTTGGTCCATACCTGAATCTGTGGTTCCTCAAGGGTTTCCTTTTTAGCAGCATAAAGTTGAAGATTAAGGACATACGTGTAAGGAAGAGCAATGAGTGTCTGACCAGGTTGTTTGAATTCAACTTTGTGAGGTAGGTTCCATTCTTTTTTCTCTGCAGATGTGAAAAGAAACAGTGAAATCATTAGAAATTAGAGAAATCATGCCTCTGCAATAGGATGAAAATGAAAGTGCAATATGTATTTTTTTTTTTTTTTTAAATTTATTTATTTATTTATTTATTTATTTTTTTTTGGGGGGGGGGGGGAGTATTTACCTACAATGCTTTCTTTAAAGGTAATACAAAGTTTTGGCATGGGGTCATGAATTTGGTTCAAATGAACATATTAGAAGCATATGCGACCCTACAATATTCAGTGATCGTTGTCGCGGTCAAAATCGAGTCTTAAGTTATGAAATTATAAATAATAATCAGTTTATGTTGTATAGCTCCCTCTCAATGTCAAGATATTAATTCAGCTATAAAACAATGATTCTTGACCAATATCGACCAATTAGCTATTCCCGTTCGCTAATTGTATACCACAACTACCTATTCTGAGATTTCCATGGTCGCATCTACCATAGTACGGCCGTAGGAGCCATTTGAAATTTATCAAAATTTACCGGGAGCACCGGTAAATCTTTATATTCAATTTTTCTCGAAAGCAGAAGTGTTTTAGGGGCTAAAATTTCTAGTGCTTTTAATACATCCACATGGGCATCCAAATATATAAAGGATCACTATCCACCCATTTTTCAAAATTTCCCAAAACTTTGTAATACCTTTAATTAAAAAACAAGAATATCTACACAACTTGTCTTAAACACTAACCCACAGTGTGATAAAACTTAATGTCTTCCTTGCAGTGATATGCTATTCTTAGTTATGAATATGATATTACTTTTTCTTTTTATGTAGAATATACTTACTCCTTTTTTTATGCTAATGCTGTATTGAATAATTGTGTTTCTAACTGATGCAGATTACATGACAACAAGCCAAAGAGACACAAGAAAGAAAGAAAGATTGATGAATGGAGAAATAATGACTGAGCAAGAAAAAAAGACATGCATGCATGCTTCAAATTAAATTGTATCCAACTTTGATAATTGAAATAATAAACACATTAATAATGCTTCTGACTACGTTTCTAAGCGCTTTAAAATTTTAAATTGTAATTATTATTACGGTGGACATTGGATTCTGCTAATCCGCACTTTAGTGTACAGTTCTGCTCCATGGGGAGTAATCTGGCCAGACGCCATTTTACAAGCACACGCATACCAATCCAACCACATTAATGTTTGTATCCTACCGGATACCCATTTAACACCTGGGTGGAGAGTGGCAAATGTAGATTACTGTCTTGCCGAAGGATGTTAGTGCCACGGCGAGACTATAACCACAAACGATGCAATGCTGGGGGGTATTTCACAAAGATTAAGATTGACTTTAAGCTGGACTTAACTATTGCAGGCCGTTCATGCCACTGTTTGCTCTCACCATTTACAGGCATTGGTCTCTCAAGGGACATACAAATCATGGTCACAAATCTACATTTTTTGATAATTCATTACAGAAGGAAAAAATATTATCTAAAGATCATAATGGTGAGAGCAACCAGCGGCATTAATGGCTTGCCATAGTTAAGTCCCACTTAAAGTTAATCTTAGCCTTTGTGAAACACTCCCCTGGACTACTATATACTTGAAATGGCATTAATAGTGTCATGGCACACCTAGAGGTCTTACCTGGCTGTACAAACAAGTGTTCTGTCCTCAACGTTACTGGGTCCACACTGTGGGGGATGCGCAAGACAGCCCTGATAATGTCCTGTAGATACATGTGAAAAAAAGGATGTGTACAGATGAGATAATTACATAAGATTGTACTCTTAAACTGAACCAAGGATCAAATGCCTGCTCAGTATCATAACTGAAAAACAAAGAAAAAGGTAAATTATTTTCAAGATAAAATATACATGCATGAAATAGAACATGGCATAAACCCATTGAATTTGAATTTTGTTTTGACCTATCATTGCTGCTAAAGTGACCCAGCTTTAAAGATCAAAATTATCAATAATTTCTATAAATAGTTACTCAGACTCAAAATTAACCAAAACATAGTATACTAACCTCAAGTTCTTCTTGGAGAGTTTTGTTATCAATGTAGTCACCGATGGTCCTGAAAAGAAAATTATTATAGAGATATAATAAAATAGCACCCTCCTTAAATATCACAGAGCCATTATGAAGCTACCAAGAGCAAATATGTCCCCTGCTCATTCCTCCTTCAGAAAATATTTTTTAAAGTTAAAGACAGGTAAACAGAGAGAATAAAAATAAGTGTCTTTAAGTACATTTAGTAATCTAAACATTGCTTGCACCTACATGTCTAGGTACTACATCTTAAAGCCTATACTCACCCATCTGTGAGGGGTGGCATCAAAGTCTTGATCTTGCACACTTTGCCCTCGTACACGATGCAACGGCAGTCCTTTCCAGGTAGGGTAAATTTTGTCAGAGACATCTTTTGGCTGGCTATTCTTAAAACCTGGATGTCTACAGAATAAAGAAGACAACACACACAAAAACATCAGGTGCTGAACTGGCACTGCTGCTGAATATGTGCCTCTTACTAGGGAAGAATCTTATTCAAGTTCAGGCAATTTTCTTTTCCGATGTGTACTGTAAACAAACTAACCAGGGTAGCAAGTTATGTAATACAGGTGCATTAGTTTAATTTCAATATCCCCACTCCAGCAGCCAAGCAGTTTGCACAATTCACTTATAGTTATAGCTAGCGGAACGTGCATACTCTCTGGGCGGCTGGATTATGAGGTAAAAGAGTACCTCCATTGTTCATTCTTTACTTTACTTTACATGATGTTGTAGGTCTAAGCCTGTTCATCGATCTAGGACTACAGTACGCCTAGACCGGCTTATACAGAAGGCTTGGATTCTTTGACCAATGACTATCAAGCCTACCGGGTATTCTTAAAAGAGGTGACCGACCCAGTTCACAGCCTCACACCACCTTTTCTCAGAGAACGTTCCACAGCTCCACAACTCTATCGCTAAAAAAGTATTTTCTAATATCTAGTCTGGAATATTTCTTTTCAGCATTTCAGAGGGTCCTTGAGGTCTATCTTCTGTACTTATCTTAAAGGGAATCTCTTGCACAGTGTACTGTACAAGCAATTCAAGTACTTCAAGTACGCTCCTGGTATGATACACACATGTATATTAAAAGCTGTGCTATTGATTTTCAACATTTCAAACACCACTGTACAAAACTCAACTAATTTCACTAAAAATCGGTACTTTAGTGACCATTGATGACACCTAAATAGCAGTAAAATACAATTTTTTTTCAACTTTCCAATGTTAGAAAGAAAAATTCAAATTCAAATTGTGAGTCTACAGTCAAACTTGCCGATCAGCCGCATCGGCATGATTGTGTGCATTTGTGTGTTGTGAGTGTATTGACTATTCATGTATTCAAATACTGCCCATTAACACGTAGTGCAGTGCTAGTATAGTATTAATGACTGCTTTGAGAGAAATAGTTGTTTTATTACGCTCAAGGGAAGGTTAGAATTGTGCTATTCCCCGAGGCTTGCCGAGGGGAATAGCCCAATTGTAACCTTCCCGAGAGCGTATGAAAACAACTATTTCTCGAATATTAAAGCAGTCATTAATACTTTTATATGCCGAAAAAAAATAGACTAAAAAATAAAAAATAAAAAATCCTTTTTTTTTTTGTCGAAGGTGAGAGTCGAACTCTTGCGTATAATGAGTGATGAATCTTACACCAACGCCTTACACCACTCGGCCATCGCGCGCTGTTCACATGCTTGGCAGTTTTGTACAATATATACATTAAAATGGATTGAAACCGGCTTCGGCGTGATGAATGCTTCGCAAAAGCACCCTTCTTTTACTTTTGCAATGCATATTGGCACGAACTTAGATCAAGATCTATCGGCAGATGTTGTTTTTTTGTTTTTGGAAGTTTATTTTCGTCTTCATGTCAACAATGCAAGATAAAATTGTCGGTAAGATCGATCGAGATTCAATTGTATTGAAATTACCGACCAATCCTTCGCACACATACGGTATCCTCGATCGCTCAAACCATTTTTTAACATGTAAACCTATGGGGTAACCATGGAGGCTGACCTATTTTTTTAATAACCATGGTTATTAAAAATATTAAATGTTTTATGCATGGTTACCGGGAATTTTACAGGAACAGTTGAAGTTTATGAATGCAATTCGACCAATCAGATGGCTGGATTTCTTAAGTGAGGTATATAAAGCCAAATATTCCTACATACATAGTCTAGTCTACCAGTAGTCTAGATTTTCTAGGTCTAAATCCTAGAAGTATTACTAATGACTGTGAAAACCTTTGCAGACATACCGTACAAGGTTTAAAATTTCAACATACAATTGACCTCCAAACGTTTGAATTTCCCAATCTCATACCCATGCTTATCATGCAGCAAAGCATAGAGAGTCAATGCTAATGCGTATTGACCTCGAGTCTAGCACTGCATGCTTGCTGTGAGGCAGGTATTATTAGACCTATACACAAATACACACACCGCATAATATAGCATAGACTGTACACAATCATGTCGATGCAGCTGTATGCAAAGTTTGACCAGTAGGGGCGCTGGTCTGAGAACGAGGATAATCCTCATAAATGAGGATATCTTCATAAACGCAGACAAAATGCGTCCTCGAAAATAAGGACCGTCTGCATTTTCGCGGACGTTTTTTTTCATAGGCACTCTGCGGGTTTCGGGTTACCAAACAGCCTGTTGGCGATCCCAAAAATGGATTCCCCAGGGGAAAATAACCCTAGTTCACCGTCTTCCCAAGGATTTATTACTCATAATGTGAAAGTCTCTGTACAAAGTCAATGTATCAATGCATCAAGAAAATCATTGAGCAATCCGTTTTTTGCATCGCCAATGCGCCGATCAAAAATATGAGACGTCTGCAAAAATGCAGATGATCCTCATTTTAGAGGACGCATCAGTCTGCGTTTACAAAGACGATCCTCGTTTATGAAGACGATCCTCATTCTCGGACCAGCGCCCCTACTGTTGACACGAGACTTATGAAGGGGTGACCAAAGTTCGCGGACATTTTAGAACATATTACAAAATGTGATATTCGATCTATGATTTCTCACATTCTACACAACTTTATTCTTTTCAATTATTACCAAATGGACGGCAAAGTTTTTTACTACAGATTGGTTCAACTAGAAAAATTTACCGTCGAAGGATTTCGGAGATATCGCGATCTAAAAATTCGATGTCCGATCGTGCGCGCGCGCTGCATCTAAAAAAGTCATAAAAACAATGAGACCTAACTTCACGCACGGTGGTTTACAGTTGATTTATCAAAAAATGCGATCCATCAAAAATAAGGTAATATCATAATTTGCAAGGCAAGATATCGTACAATCAGTTCGTACCACTCTTTACTTACAATTTTCAGGATTTCTGATCTCAAAATGAAGATTTCCAGACCCTTATCGATAAGTTGATAATTTTTCGGAACGGACGCAAATAACTGCAAAATTTGCCGATCTTTTGTCAATATTTTCACAATTTCGCAACCAATTCTAAAGAAAATTTCGTTTCTGGGTAATTTTAAGACCCTCTTTCCATTGGTGATATCAGATTTTCGAAATCTTACCGATTTTTTGAGAAAGCGAACTTTGGTCACGCGCGAACTTTGGTCACACCGCCATACAATTTGAATTTTTAAATTATTCTTTTTAACATCAGTAGTAGATGTAGACTCTAGATCTAAATTTAAAGTAGAGGGTCTAGGGTCTAAGTTCGAGTTCTAAGTTAAAAAAAATGTATTTTAGACTCTAACTTTAGGTCTAACAAAGTTAGATCTAGATAGATCTAGACCTACTGCTAGATTTCTATTTAGGTGTCATCGATTATCAGTATCACTAAATACCGATTTTGAGTGAAATCAGTTGAGTACTTGAGTTTTGTACAGTGGTGTTTGAAATGTTGAGAATCAAAAGCACAGCTTTTACTACACAGCCAGGATAGTGATGCTCCTATGTGTGGCCAGAGGCACATCCGCAAACCTGCAGCCTGCGCCCAGCCCACAGCCGTCGCATCGGCCCGAGAGCTGGCAGCGCTCCGCACTTGCTGGCCCGAATCATAGCCGTCCGTCGCCTGGGATCACCTGCCAGTGTTCCTGAACAAAATTTTATGAACCATCAACGAACCATTAGCTCAGTGTATTGCATTTTGGAAAGTTTCTTACCTAGTTTTCCCGGTTCTCAATTTTCGTGACCTCCCTTGGGTAGTCGAGCTGTCTTAACGAACGAATTTCAGGTCCAAAAATAAAAAAAAACAAGCTAGATTTTGACATTACAATTTTTCAGTTTTTCCCGCTTGACCAGGTTCCAACGTGAGATGGCGCATATGTGCTGTAATATTCGCGGGGAGTGTTCACACTAAGAACAAATAATATTTTTGTTGTTGTTGGTAAATGTTTTATGACGTTCATTCAGTATTGAATATATACGCCATAAATATCTTCAATTTTATAAGAAAATCAGTTATAGTCTTCATAAAAAAAACGTTTAAAAAACCCGATAATTTTACCCTTTTTTGGAGTGTCCCCCCCCCCCTGGCGCTCACCCCCCCCCCCCCCCCCAATTGAGCGAATTATCGGCCGGCGCGATTTTCTAATTTTCGGGAGCAAAAAAAAAAAGGCTATGTTTGGAAGCTTCCAACTTCAATAACCAATACCATGGCATGATCGGGTGAGGGAGGGGTAAAAGGGGTACGCGGCCCCAAGGCACATAGGTTAAACAAGAGAAAGAGGGGGGGGGGAGGAAAGAGTGTGAGATATGGAGACAGTGTAGACTAAAACTAAAAAGAAGAGGGAGAGAAAATGAGAGAGAGATGCGAATGCCACCCAAGTTTATTGTCAACCCGTGTCGTCGATGTGTTTATAAAAAAAGGATCGCAAGCTTTAATGTTGATATCTTTGAAATATCTTCTATTTTTTGAAAAGTTAAAAGATACAATTTGTGTCATTGTCCTTGAAATGAGAATATGAAAATCAAATTTCTTTTGATATTTGAGTTGCGTTGTATTAAAAAAAAATCATTTAAAGGTCAACTTCCGGGGCGGCGGACCGTCATCCAAAGATGGGCGGGGGGAGGGGGGCACCAACAAAAAAGGGTACTTTTAGGAAGGTATCTACAAACTGTAGTCTTAAAAAATATACAATTTTATTTAATATCTTCAGACCATACTTTGCAGATGTGAGTGATGGTCTGAAGTGAGGTGAGCATAAATGAATTGAATTGAATTGAAAATAATAAATCCTGATGGGATTTTAAACAAGGCCTTTCCTATAAGCAGTTGCCTTGAGTTTGAAAACCCATTGTCTAGTCAAACCTAAAGCGACAGGTAAAAGGGGACACTTATCAATTGGCAGTGGAAAGGAAAATTATCAAAAGTAACAATGGGAACATATGATATAATTATGAAAGGGTCGCCTTTTTGTTAACATCAGTAGTAAAAAGGGAGCATTTATAAAAAGGGGAAGGGGCACAGAATTGGAAATGAAAAAAAAAAGACACATATCAATTAAAGTAAAAGGGACACTTATCAGAGGTGAAAATGGGCATTTCTTAAACGTACAAAGGGGCACTCATTAGAGATCATAGATGAAAAGGGCACTTATATTTAGAAGAGAGAAAGAAGCACTTATTAAAAAGAAAAAGGGGCACTTAGGCCATTAAAAAAATATATACATGTTTAGCGTCTCCGCCCGCTTCCTTTTTGGGGGCCGCCTCCTATTTTTTAAATTTTGTTTGGATTTTTTTTTAAAAGAAAAAAACATGAAAAACACTGCTAAAATGGTTTTATTTCTGATTTTATAAAAAAATGTCGGCGGCCATCTTGAAAAATAGCCCGACTGTGAGGATAAATGGACCGAGCGGCCATTTTGAAAGAATAAAAAAAAAAAGGGCCTCCTCCTTCCTATTTTTCGAAAAAACAGGACGCTAAACATGTTTTTTTTTTTTTATTTGGCGTTATCCGTGAGGTAAAAAAGGAGCATACTTACCTTTGTAAAAGGGGGCAATTTGGGGCGCTTGAAAAGGTGTGTGTGTGGGTGGGGGAGGGGTGTAAAGGAGGAATACAAGTGGACATGCCAAGAGACAACTTAGCAGTGACTAAGAGGAGTTTTTACATAAAAGAAAGAAAGAGAGAGAGAGAGAGAGAGAGAGGGGGAGAGAGAGAGAGAGAGACAGACAGAAGCGATATCACGATAATAGCGATACTATATCGGATCGTATTTTCCAGAAATTACAGATGACGAATGTCGTCGTCATTTTCTTTGTTCCGTGATATTTTGGTGACAAATATGGGTTTCTACATATACCATTGATACATATTGTAGAGTTAGATGCTCACAGAAGGTAATTCTGACATTTTTTTGTTTGTTTACTAATTCTAGTGTAAGAGATCTTTGACTTTCGGATGACAAACGCAGGCAAGTTGGTCGAACGTCGACGTGTGTTGTCTGTCCACGAATTCATGTTCCAGCCCCCCACAACTTCAGGCACAGGAATATGCACTTGCCTCAACACAACGAGCTACTGTACGCGCACTGGCATGCACTGCACCGAGCTGAATTGACTGCACTGACAAATCTGATGCACGTCATCTGGTCATTGGTTGCAAACGGTGTTATTGATAAATATTCAAGTCAATATAGCTTTTAGAGTCTTTTAAATTTTTGAAGATAATGCTATTTGTCAATTTAAGTGATGTTATAAACCCCCTTTTTCTGAATGATGGGATGATCGATGAATGAGTGGTGACTAGATCTAATGAACATTGAATTGATATTGATAACAGAAGAAGATGTTGTTGAGTCTTGACTTGTCTTGTCTCTTGAGATTTGTGACTTGTTGAAATATATGGGCTATAATATTATTTTCATTATCTCATCATTTAGAATATAGACCCTAGAGTCTACACCAATTAATATTTGATGAAGGTTAATGAAAAATGAAGAAAACTATCAATAGACTAGAGTATCTAGTGAGACTAGATCTAGACTGTCACTACCGGTATTAGGCTATTCCAAATTCAGGCGCGTAGCAAGGGGGGGGGGGGGCAGTAGGGGCAGTCGCCCCCCCCAAAAAAAAAAGAGAGAGAGAGAGAGATTGAGAGAAAGAAGAAAGGAAGAGGATGTAGGAAGAAAAAGGATTAAGAGTCGAGAATGGTACAACGATTCTTCTTCTTTTTCTAATAATTTAATGAAACGTCAAGGCTTTGGCGCTTCGCGCGGGAGGGTGAGGGGAAAACTGCATTCAGATAAGGATTAAGAGTCGAGAACAGTACAATGAATCGTCTTCTTTCTCAAATAATTTGATGAAACGTCAAAGCTTTCGCGCTTCGTGCAGGACGGGGGGCAAACTGAAATCAAACAATGATTAAGAGTCGAGAATGGTACAAGGAATCGTCTTCTTTCGTAATAATTTAATGAAACGTCAGAACTTCCGCGCTATGCGCGGAGGAAGGGGAACTTGATTCAAACAAGGATTAAGAGTCGAGAACGGTACAACGAATCGTCTTCTAGTAATAGAAACTGAATTTAGACAAGGATGAAGAGTCGAGAACGGTACAACGAATCGCCTTCTTTCTCTAGTAATCTAATGAAACATCAAAGCTTATGCTCCCCCTCCCCCCTCCCTGCACCCACCCCCCTAGGGAGCGCGCTATGCGCGCTCTGTAATCTTGGCTACGCGCTTGTCCAAGTTTGAACCAATTTTTTTTGTCCAGAAAACTATAGACTAACTGACTCATAATCGTACTATAGAGTCTACATGTTTGATGGGGTAACAAAAGTTTACTTCACGCACATTTTTAAATGTTAAAATATTTCAATATTGCTCCATCGACATCAAGCTGATTGACATCAAGCTGATTGACATCTCATTTTCTGCCAAATACTGTTTAATCAAATGTTCAACAAAAGTTACAAAACCAAAACAAATCAAAGAACAACAAATCTTGAGCCTTTGCACGTACAAGAAAGCAGACATGGCCATGGGATAACTCAATAACTATTAATCATTTCCCAGAAATGGAAAAAAGGAGGATTGTTTAGTTCTGTAATTTGTAGACTATGGCCATTGAAAGATTCAGTACATGCTTTGTATTTGATTGAATGAAATCTGTTTTCAAACTCGCTCTCATATTAGGAGGTACAGTACATGTATGTAGCATCATTCGACCCTAGAAGTTTTTGAATCTTTTTTTTTTCATTTGTTATATTTGTATTCAATTTTGCTGTCATGTTGAAGATTCCCTCAACTTTTAAGTTTATACTTCATTAATTTTCTTGTACAGGTACATGTACATGTACATGTAACTTCAAGCATCTTTTCTGAGCTTGAAACCTCATACATGTTCATGTAAGTATTTTTTGTACCTGTACTTGTACATACATGTACAACTAAATAGGCATATTTTTGTACATACATGTAGCTTTGGATTCCAATTTTCACCTGAAACTTGAATTATCATTAAAAATACTCTTTTCTTATTTGATTGTCAGGTGCGAAGTATGGATATCATTTCTTGGGCACTTCACAATGACCTAGAGTACATGTAGATCTACAATATGTGCTGAAGCTCCCTTTATTAAGAAGATATACCAATCCAGTATTATCAGAGTAAGCAGAGTGCATCAAGGGAAATCATCGCACAGATTGTGCAGGCCATCCTACTTAGTGGTTTGGTGAGTGGCTGTGTTGAAATCAATACGTGACTCCAGTCTTTGGACATGACTGCAGTAGAGTTTTGTGGCTTATACAGAATGTCTTCTTGTGACAGTGACAGCGAGGATAGGAGAGAGAAAGGATCGGGAGAGGAGGTCAGGCTAAATGTTTATGATATGGTAAGTAAACAACAAAGTGAAGGGGGGAAAAAAAGTTACCGGTATTCAGGTGTTAGAAACTTTAAATCTGATATTTTGGGGCAGGTGAAAAGGCATTAAACTTTTTAATTATTAAAGATGGTAGACATCAATGTTGATCATTTCTAGTATGGAAAGAATAATACATTACAATAGTTTTCCATTTGCCTTGGTATGTTAAAAGTAAAATTAAAAACAATCTGAATGTTATTTTCATGGCTGACAACTGTCAGAAGAATTTGCTTGATATGATGTAGAGAACAATTGTACATGTACATGTACATGTATATTGATGTCAGTGTGATACTCGATACATAGTACATGACCAAGTGTTTTGTCATAAATGTAACCTTATCTGTGCACTTTGGCACTTTGGACATTCACTGCAAGTTCTGTGCCAAGATCATTGTCCCAGTGAAAAGTTTTGAAATAAACTGTACATGAACTTGAAATGTCATAGACTCAAGAGTAAAGAAAACATGAATTCTTTTTGTTAGAATGGAATTGATGGAAATAGGATGATGTCCTTACAGGTTCATTGTTTTAAAACATGATTTCTTACTAATTTTTGCTTAGTTAAACTGTGCAGTGTACACCACTGCAAAAATCACGAATACATTTACATACATGCCTAACATAATACAATGTATAGTACTTTTATCACAGCCTACATGTTTCCCCATGTTTTAATGCTTGAACTCATCTCAATTTTACCATCTGCATAATCTAGTTTAATACATGTGTACATGTAGCTATTTAAGAATGAATTTCTTTTAGAATAAGCATACATTATTACAGGATGGTGGTCGTAATGTGCTGATTCAGGGTTGGACGGGCTGGAGCAAAGATCTGGGCCCTGTTTCATAAAACTTGTTATCAATAACAAATGTTATGTCTACGGCAAATTTGCTCTCAGCCAATCAAATGCCACAATTTCAGTAGCTACATGTATTATTGTAACTTGTTACCAATAACAAGATATGATAGTATACCGGTACACTGTAACAGTAAGTTACTGAAAATACTAAAATCCTTACATTTGATTGGCAATAAATATGAGCAGATTTTGTTATCAATTGATCTGTGGCAGTTGTTATTGAAAACATTGACAAGTTTTTATAAAACAGAGCCCTTGTTTAATAGAAGAATAGGAAGAGTGTTGGAATGCACTAAAGAAAAGATGATTTGCGAAAGAGGAGAAAAAAAAATGAGATTAGAATGGCTTCACACAACATTTTGAAGGCTCAAAGGCCAACTCCTGATGATGCAGGACGCCAATGTCTGATGCAGGGGTATTATTGCCATCCATATGGAAGCCTCTTTTCTTTTTTCATGCATGTTGGCTCAATTATTTATGATAGGATGGTCATAATGGGGCAATTAACCTTGTCCTCAAGATTAAAATGTATTCAGATAAAACAACATGTACATGTACATTACCTGCATGTACTGTTCTTGTATTGTACATATTCATTGATATTGATGTGCTGCATATATACACATGTACACGAGCATGGGCCTACACTAAATACTAAAGCTACCATTGAGCTACATGTACACCCATCTTGTTTCATACATATTATAGTACTATAAGACCTATTTTATTCTTAATATGAAAAGAAGAGAGTGGCCTAAATTTTTGATAATTTTCTTATATATCCTGTAAAAACAAACACAAAGAAAGAAACAATTTCACACAGCATTACAGTAAAACAAGGGGGGGGGGGGGAGTGGGTCTACTCGTACACAGACGTATTAGATATTGTATACATGTACTTCTATACACCACTACATTCGCACAAATATGCTGAAATGTACCAGCATGGTTCAAATGATTGATTGAGCAACTATTACTTTACAGAGAGGATCAAATTGAGTCAAATATTCATTTTGTGTTGTGAAGACTTAAAATGCAGTATGTAAACTTGTGCAGTATCCATGTACATACAAAATGACTTATAATGCACTATATACCTGGAGACATTTTATTCTAAGTGTCCATGTTCCCTTTCTCCCGTTTTCTTCATTCTTCTTTCCTAACCTTCCTCTTTCCTGTCCTATCATGTTGGATTCTGGGTTTGCATTGTACAAAATGCAATTTCTTCCAAAATTCTGTTTGATATACTTTACTTGATATACATGTATGTTTCAAGCCATTTATGTTTACCAAATCCTATTTTATCAGGGAAGCTGTCTTGACAAAACCTTGTTTTTTTTTTTTTTTTTTTTTTTTTTTTTTTTTTTTTTACGGCTGTGCCCAATTTAGTTTTGTCATCATTAACGTATATTTACATGTATTATTGTATATCATTCAGATCTATTTAATGTATGAAATTTCATATTTTTAATTGATGAATTTGTATACAAATGTTTTATAGAAAGATGGAATCTAAATAAAATGAATTGAATTTGATATATCTTTGTAAGATATTCTTATTACAATCAGAATAACATTAACATTGTAACCGGAACCCACCCCTTCCAAAATGAGACAAAAGAAATGATACTGTTCATGTACATGTAGATAGTCTATTCTGGAAATGTAAGTACTAATAATTGGTTCATACAGTACAAAATACATTTCTTGAACTGGCCTGTCACTTCTTTTCTTGTTTCTATTGCAGTATTGGACTAATGAATATACAACAACACTAGGATTAGGTGTATATCACACTGGAATTCAAGTTTATGGGAAAGGTAGGTACAATTTTACACATTTGAAAATTAAAATAACCATTTTCCTGTTTTTGCATGTAATGTACAGGGTAGAAAATTTTCAGATGTCGATATTTTGAAATGAACTTGTATTGTAATGACCTTAATTGTAGCAGTACAGCTGTCTATAATTATGTATCATTTTGAAGTTTTATCATGCAGATAATCTTCTGATGTCCTCCTTTCTCTCTCTGGAGATCTATGCATTTTTAATGAAGAGAATCAAGAGTAGGATTGCAAAACAGGAGACATGTAGATTTTATCTTCGTATGGAGGGTTGAAAGAAATGCGGGACATTGAATAATTGATTTGAAATTTATTTCTTTTATTCCACTGCTGTTGTGCAGTTTTGAATTGTGGTGTATACTGTATGTGCTGAAGATGCTGAAAGTGATTGTACTCATTACTTTGTTTTTGCAACGTCTTGTTAGAACCGTCATCTAAGATTTCTTCTCGTACAACGTGTAACTATTTTTAGGGTTAACTGTACAATGTTTATTGCCCCAAGGGTAATATCAGAAACAGCACTGCTGGTACATGTATGCAAGTTGAGAGGCTTAATTCTGTAATAGATTCAGAGTCTTTTCAACAACCATCGTCTGAAAAATACATGCAGGACCACAGCATTCAGTACTAGTTATAATAGAGATGTCCTTATTTCCCTAGAAACACAATTTGTCAAAAATGTACCAGTGGAAAGGCTTTGAATTTGTCTGATAGATAGATGTTTGATAGATGTATCTGTAATTCTTATCTGCCCATCCTCTTTAATGCACAAGAAAAGGCTCACATAATACAGTACCGTAATTAACAGTGTATAAACCGCACCTTTTTGCCGCCGAAAAAAATCAAAGTCGGGGGTGCGGTTTATACATGGTACACCAAAAAACAAAAAAAAAGTTGTGATTTATGCCCCTCCATCTGGCGCTATGCCTGGCAATGTCTCCCAGCTCAGTAATCGGTGTGTTGACTCACCACTAGGAAACTAGAACAACACTCAAATTTGTCTGTCATCTTGGTTTGAAAGTAATCTTTCTGATAGATCTCAATATGTAGTTTATAATAATAATTCCTACACACGGTGTACCACAACGTGCTATTCTAGGTCCTCTACAGTTTTTTAATTTACATTAATGATCTTACACATTCAGCTGCACCTCGCAGTTAAATGAAAGGCCTTCCCGTATGGTTTTTTTTAACACGGACAAAAAAAAAAAATTAAGGGCGAAAAAGAGGGGTGCGGTTGATACACAAGGGCGGTTTATACAACGTTAATTATGGTATGTACCGAAACATGTCAATTCCTGGCATACATGTTCATATGCCATTTATACATTGTTGTATGATGTACCATGTACATGAAATCTCAAATAGTCAAAACTACAGTGAGTGTACTTGCCTGCATATTTAATCAAACAAATGCATTTAAGATCAAATTGTGGGAGGGGGGGGGGTGGAATAATGTACCAGTACAGTACTACATTTATTTTGTGTCGAGATGTACATGTACATGTACATGTACAAACTGTAGATGCACATTATATGATATGAAATCTGATCAGAAAAGTACATATACAATATGTACAGGTACTCCTTCTTCCCTTTAAGATTTGTTTTTTGTACGCCACTTTCACTACCCTTTGACCTGTTTATAATCCATGATGGTCCCAGCTTACCCCAATTTTGGCCCTGATCAATATTTAATGGTTTGCTCTCTGCCTGCTCTCAGTTACCATCCACATAAAGATCTGCAAAATTGATTGCTTGCTGTGCAGTCTGGGGATATTAATTTGGGGGAGATGGATGGAGGAATAATGCAGACTATTTTCTCCATCGGGAGAGTCGTGCGAGCAATCAAGGCTATTTCGTCTCTTGGGTATGTTTTTGAGGGAGGATGGAGTAAGGAGTTAAAAGACAGCATTGATCAGTGAAAATGTCATGTACATGTAGGTGTTAACGCTGATGTGACCTTTCAAATAAAAAATGATCAATGCGTCATATTTGAATTAGACTGGTATGAAATCTTATAATTGAACTACTGCTTAAAGGGAAATCCAACCTTATTATCAAACTGCTCTAAAAGGATGGAGAGAAAGTATACTGGTGAAAGTTTGAATGAAATCTGACAAAAAATGAGAAGGACAGAAGGTTATGAGTTTTTGGAAGTTGCAATTACTATAGGTATGGGCTCTTCAAATGAGCTGAATCAGTAATGTCGGTGTGATGTAGTGGCAGACAACTTTCCTATGTGTTCCAACACACAAAATGACTCAAAACGTGTGTGACTTTGGATGTTTTTTTCTTTTTAGAGGACCTGTTATAATATGCATGTACATCATACACTCCATATTTTGAGTAGTGCCCTATTAGGGTGAAAGCACTCAGCAGAAAACCAAAAAATAGTGATACTTTTGTACACAAAAAACAGGAGAGTTATCTGCCACTAAGCCACAATCCACCGACAAAATTGCTAATTTGAGATTCGCATACCTTAGCTGTCATGATCTCATGTTTCAAGCATTCATAATTTTCTTATTATTGGTCAGATTTATTTCAAACTTTCACCATTTCTGTATCTCTGATTTTTCTGCTTTCATCCAAACTAAATTATTATAAGGGTTGGTTTGCCCTTTAAAACCACAAATCTTCACTTTGTATAAATACCTTACACAGCCTTTAGACAGAATAAGAATACTGTACATACACCCTGTACTGAACACATACATGTACGGTAGTTATTGAAGGAATTATACAATGTGTAGGAGTCAGATAGATAAAAAGCTAATGGAGAAGATAAGTAGTAGTTGGTAGGACATAAAATATATGTTGATTTGGGTATGGTAAAAAGAATTTGTAAAATTGCCAAAATTGCCAAAGCATCTTGATACAATTGTACCTACAGTACATACATGTACATGTACTGAATAATGAGGGAAAGGCTACTGTTCACTAGTGCTCAGCATACACAGGTAGGCATTAAAGAGTGATGAATTATCAAAGAGATGAAGATGTACATGTACGTACTACATGTACACTGTGTGTTTGCAAAGTCTGGCTTCATTCTTGTGTTTAGTTATTAGTATCAAGTTGAAGATACTAATAATAATATTGGGTTCTTGTATAGCTTATTTTTTATTGAGACTCAAGGCACTCCTGATTGATACCTTTGAAAATCTTTCTCAGGCTTTAATACTGGCACACACTTCAATGACTTCATGCTCATTAACTCAACTCAAGAGTCAAGACTCATGAATACATATTGACTTAAAACGATGGATTTACAAACTCATGCAGAACGAGCTTGTACTGTACAAATCTTTCACATGCCATTAGAGTCTGAGCTACATGGAAGTCTATTACGTAAATACAAATGCATTTTATAATTAACCTTCACTTAATGTCTCCTACATGTATGCAAGAAAAAGTGTAATTCAATACATCGGTTAATCTTATGGGTTTAGATTTCGGTATGCTTTTCATTTACAGCATCAAACTAATTAATTTTGCCTGTGGTTAAAACAAATGACCTTAATACCCCTCCCCCATACAATTATTTAGAAATTATATTGGGTGTGTGTTATTCATACATGTACAAGTACAGTACAGTAGGTTGATCTTTGCCAGTGATTCATGTACTAACACTGTACATATCTCTTCATTTCTTTGAAATTCTTTCATAACAATGCAGTACATTTATCTTTTAGTGTTGTGTTTGAAATGTAGATGATCACACAAATTATGCATCAATTTTAATGTATTTTATTCTTGAATCAAATGCTTGCACAGTCCAACCATGATCATTGTACCGCCTGTAGATACAGCTGTACTTGTATTTTGTTCTTAACACCAAACAAAAAAATATCCATTTCATATTCTTTCATGATTTAGACATTTTTTGGGATTAAAAAAAAAAAAAAAAAAAAAAAACCCATTGATACTAGAACTTGTATTCTGTTTGCCTGTGCAGTTGTATGTCTCCTAGATATTCTCAAATTTGTGTCTGTTATGACAGTCCTACCCTGTACAAGTGCAACGTTCAGAAGTCCTATAAGCCTTATTGTGAAATTTCACCCTCTAATGTTCATGTATATTCCAGCCTAGGGAATTAGGAGTGTATGAATAATAAAGCCTTCCTAGCAGGCCGCAATCCCTCATCTCTCTCCTCAGGGTTGTGACATTCACAGGCAAGCAAACAGGCATCCAGTCACCTGATGTCCTGCAGCTTTTATGCCAGAGTATAGGGCATGTTTCCTCTTTGGAATTGGAACCCCATTCAGACGAGTACAATTTGTTGTCTAGCTGTACGAAAATCATAAAACCTTGTATAGCTACACGTCAATGACCCTATCCGATGAAAATACAACTTGATATAAATGGAAAACTGAATGAATGTAGAATACAAATATAAAGGAATAAAAAGTAATTACCCTTTCATTATTGCCCAAAAGCAAATTAAAACCTTGTTTTTCGCACCCCTCCAAATTATGGGTCAACAGGGGTCAAATTTGCTGAAGTTATAGTGAAGACATAGCATGTGGATATAACTGAGGCGCAGAGCCGTGCTTTAATTAATGCAAAGTCATTATGAATATAAAGATGATGTCATCAAGTTGATAGCAAGTTTTTAGGTCGACAACTTCTGATTTTCAAAGCTTTGGATTTTGACAGACACTTAAAAGTGACATATGGTTGATATTATTGTAATCCATGGCTTACACCTGTATAAGCTTTCCATTGATACACAATCCATCCATTTCATATTTGCAGTTCGGATATGGTCTTTAAGTAATAAACTTTTTCAACCCTGAACAAGGCACCTACAACAAAATATTGTACAGCAAAATGGAGGTGTGACAAACAATAAGTTGATGAAGAACAGGGTCCCTTTCCCGCATAAATATCACATTGAACGAAACGGTACAATATGGTCAGCTATCACTCATGTGGTTTGCGCAAGCTGTTATTTTGTACCCTCAAACCATAGATACACAAACAACTGATGAATGAATTCATATTTTGTATGTAGACCTACTACAAAAAGACTGGATTTCTTTCTTAGCCGGTTTAGGCCTACCATACTATAAAGACTGGGTGATTTCCCTCTTATCACACACTCTTGACTTTATGCCCCTTTCATATCAAGGAAAACCCTGGCATTTTGAAAGGGCAAGGCCATAAAGTCAAGATCAATGACAAAATATAGCTTTATTTTGTTTATTGTTCAAAGGCAAGGCCTTTTTTAAGGAGGAGGTACACATACACATGTACATGTATCTCCTCTATATACTTGAACCTCGGCCAAACATGAAGACAAATACCTTTTGTAAAAAGTCAAATTCACTGTGTACAGTGTATATTTAATTTTGACGGAAATAATAATTTATTCTCTAGCCGCTCATTATATATTCAGTTACAGAAAGTTAAATTCTACCAGCTTATTTGCAGGAAAGATCCAGCGTTGGATTATGGTAATGAAACAAAGCAATTGTACTTGAATTGTATTTTTGTATTATCTGTGCATTTGCTGATCACAGAGTATACAGTACGTATGGAGGGCCTTCAGCCCTTCACTGTGAAATTCCACATTTACTATGAGACAGTGTACTGTGTATACAACTGTATGTGTAAGCCTAGTATTAAATAAAGACCGTGTTTATATCTTGTACATGTAAAACTGCCATCTTAGTTGAGATGCATCTAAAGATTCTTTATAGACTGCTTGATGATCTGATGGCATGATCTTGAAGACTGGCCATGACTTTGGCTCACTTCCCCCATGGATTCCATTACTTACATGTATGAATGCCTATGAATGATATAATGCCATACTATACCCACCATCTACTGTAACACCTTTGCAACATCATACTGCTTGGATGCATGATCATCAGGATTAACTGTACTGGAATCTCTAATGCTCATTCAGACTACTAAAACTACATTGTATAGCTACATGTAGTTAGCTACACTGTACATGTACATGTTACTGTAAACAAAAACTGTGTAGCTACAGTATATAATAAGCCATTTTGTTTCCTAGTCTAAATGTTTTAAAGCAAAAACTTGTAATGAAACGTTAAAAGAAACATCATATACATGTAGTGATACGCTTTGATCATATAAAGGCAGGGCTTATTGTGAGCATGTACTGATGATTGGCCAGTTATCATGTCAACTGACCTCTTTAAAGAAAATTCTTTGCATGTTTATATGTCCTTATGATATGATATGATATTCTTTTCACATGTGTATGCCCGCTGTATTCTTGGGAAAAAACATATATGCACCTGGCAGGGCTAAGAATCATGATTGGCCAGTTGTTGTAATGTCAATTGACCTCTTTCAAAAATAATTTATTTTCATGTGACGTGTCTTTATGATATGATACTCTTATTTATTTATTTTATTTTTATTTATTAGTCATTTTTTTTTTAGTAGGGTGGCTCCATCAGTAGTTAAATACTGTTTTCAATGGAGGCCCTACAACATAAATACAAAATTTACAAACATATTGATGTAAACAATCCAAATCGAGACAAAATAGATTCAGTTACAACATTTTCCAACTCTTTTCATGTGTTTATGCCCCTTTTGCCGTACAATGATGCTCTAATGCTCTATGTAAGTTTTGTATAAATGGCCTCTAGTCTGAACGAGCTACATGGATAAGGGCTATAGCTGTCAGTGATGTGAGATGTGGACCGTTTAATTACATACACTCTGTTAATTCCCTTGTGAATACGATGCCCCAGCCACTAGCCTATTAATTGTATACCATTTGAGAGGCGCTTTCCTCAAGGACTAATAGCTTATTTGGGTCTACAAGGTATGTACGTGTTAAATGTACATACTTTTAGTATGGCTAAGTGTGCAAAGAAACCTGTCAATTTGAATTCTGTGATACAAAGTACACTGTATGTATCTCTTCACAGTATACATGTACATTGTACATGTAGGTGCACTATTTCTTTGTATACAATATAAGCCTACTGACAATGTGTATAACATGTATTCTACAACATTTTATTTTATATGTATACTCAATAAATAAATAAATAAAATCGAATGCTGATTTTGCCATTTAAAAAAAAAAATTTGTCAATCAATTTCCAACTTCAGTTTTTACAGATAGTACTTAATGAAAAAAAAGGTATACATGTAAGTACAGTTTCATAATGACCTGCTCAGATTCCTATGGTATCAAAAGAGACAAGAAATTATTTGTGTATTGAGTATTGACAGTTTTTTCTCTTTCAATTCACAGTTTAAAAAAAATATATATAGAAGTAGAACTAATGTAAATAACATGTATCTGAATCCTTCTTTATGGATTCAGATATCAATACAATAATTTGATTTTTTGTTAAGTTATTATTTAAATCCTCTTCCAATCTTTTTTTCTTTCTTGGTACAGAGTATGCTTACGGAGGACACCCTTTCCCGTTCACTGGAATATTTGAGATAGAACCCAGAGATGTCACAGATTTAGGAGAACAATTTAGTTTTAAGTAAGATCTTTTTGTTTGAATTCACATATGATATGAGTGTCGAAATATAAAGTTAAAAAAAGGTGGCATTACAATCCAACTAATCTCTAACGTTGAAATAAATGATTATACACATATACAGTATGTCGGATGTCCTATTTGTATGATACTTAAAACACCATGTTTTGAATAAATTGCTAATTCATTTGTATTGTTAAATTAAGAGAACATTTTTTTTAAAGAATGATTTTAAAAAATGGAGAAAAAATAAAATAAAGTAAGAATGAAATAAATGATTATACATATATGTCCTAAAAAAAAAATGTTTTGAATAAATTGCTAATTCATTTGATTTGTTAAATGTTAGCTTCTTTGGGAAAAAGTATTTTTTAAACACTAGAAAAATAAATAATCAATATATGGTAAAAATGTACATCCTTGAAATACATGTACATCCTGTACATGTACCATGGAGAGTAATCTGTTAACAGCTGAAAAAGGGGTCAGACTGCAGTAAGACGATACACAGTGTAATGAGTCTATTAACATTAAGTATACAAGTAGATCTGTTAGGTCATAATATTTGTATTATTTCTCTACCACCAGACAATAATAGCAGAATAAGAAATATTTACTCTGGCAGTTGACAAGTTTGTGCAAGCTGGAGAACATAGGCTTCACAGCAGGTAGTAATAGACAGGATAAATTTGCCAGTTCTGTATTACGTTTCCAGATGTGTACATGTACATTGTATATTGATGAAGATTTCAGTGCTATTGCAACCAAAATGCACCTTGGATTGCAAGTATAGACTACTGTTAGCAAGCTATCATTGCTGGAAATGAGAAAATGAAATTGCAAGTGTATTAAATTGCAATTAAACTCTGATCAAAGTTATATTGAAGAATAAAATTGTTCATAGGAATGACATTGTAAGGTATTGGCTTTAGAATGTCAATTTTAATTTGGAAAATTACATTTATCTATCCATAATTTACGCTCCATATAATTTTGTTACACTCATAAGTGGTCTGGATTGAAAATCATAAGGTTAATATGCATGACCCCCTTGGCCTTGTTAATATTTTAAATATGAGGGTGGGGGTAACCTACATATAGGTGCCTGTTAAGCATGAGCCATGCCATAATACTCATTCAGCAGCTGTATTGACATGATTTCTTTTCATATGATTGACAGGGAAACGATAGTTCTAGGCCAGACTGACCTCACAGAGGAAGACGTAGTGAAAGTAGTAGACTGCCTTGGAAAGAAGTATCCCGGTGAAGCATATCATCTCATTCACAAGAACTGCAATCATTTCACACAGGAACTAGTACAAGTAAGCAGCTCAAAAGCTTTCTAATGGTATCCTCTACAGTCATTTAAAGATAAGAAATGGAAATCCAACTTAAAAAAATAGAAGTTTAACATTAAATTCTTTCCCCATCACTAAAATTAAGACCATCAGAAAGTGTAACTTCTTTGCTTTCCCATAATACATTAGTTTGGTTGTATTTCCAGGATCATGCGCCACTGAAAACCATTGTCTGTAGAATTTTGTGCAGAAATTCCATTTGGTTCACTTGCAAAAAGCCCATTCGGTATGGTGTCAGGGTAACGACTTTGTCAACCGGCTTAATTGCTTCTTCTAGCTATCAGTTGTTAATTAGATCTCGCCCTGTTCGAGTTTAAGCCTTAGCGAGACAAAGCGTTCCCTTCATTAAAAGGATTACAAAGTGGCCTCCCAATGCGTGGGTGGATAATTATTGTTTGGTGTCTCATTATCACAAAGTGTTAAATATTCAACGATAAATCGCTAAATAAGGTATCATCTAAAAGCACCTAGGGTACTCACATGAACATTACTCCTGCCTCAATGGCTGAAGTGGACCTACATGTTAAAGTGTAAAGGTTTGAAGCTGTGCCACAGGATACATAAATATATATATTTTGAAATACAGCACCTTTGCATTCAAAGGGGTCCAGATTGAGCTGTCCTTATACATGAGTGCTATGTGAAAACTTCAAAATCCTGGGGGTCCAGACTTAGATTTTGGTCCCGGGCACCTGGTAGTTTTGGTTTTATCCCTGCTCATTGGAAGGATTTGGGGAATTTTTAAGAATTTGAGAAATGAAACAAGGCATAAGTACGGTACTAGTCACCATCGCGTAGTTTTAAATGATGGAGAGGGAATTTCCCTATTTCATATCCATTTCATTGAAACAAAATATTTTCCACTGGTAGGCTTTGGGAAATTTTGAAGAATTTGAGAAATGAAACAAGGCATAAATCCTGTTTTGATATTAGCCACCATCACATCCTTCTAATAACATAGTTTTAAATGATAGAAAGGGAATTTCCCTATTTCATTGTAACAAAATATTTTGGCACAACATGTTTAGTCTATACCTAGCTCATTTTTCTTATAAAGCCGTTAACAATCTTATCTGAAGGTATCAGGTTTTATATGTACAGCTGCAGTATTCTTTTGAAACGATATCTGCTAAGAGCAAGAACGGCATTGACTATTTGTTGAATCATATGAGTTAATATCCATCTGGCTTCCAGTGGGCAATGTGTTTGTTTCAGACATAATACATTTTGATCTCTGATTGGATTGATACCCTTCTACCCCTCAGATACTCTGTGCCAAGGAGATACCGTCGTGGATCAACCGATTGGCTGCAGTAGGAGCCCGCCTACCCTTCATGGAGCGCATGCTACCCAAGGAGTGGCTAACCCCACTAGCCCTGGTAGAGAACAACTCGGTCAAGGAGCCCGAACCCTCAAGAACACCCAGTGACTCAGAAACGGGCAGCAAGTCATCATTGTTATGACAACCCTGATATCACCTCAAGGGAATGTTTTATATACAGAGTGCCACAAGGATGGGATGTGTACTTGCTTTTTATTGTGACTTTATATTAAAGGAAAGATGACAGAGAGGATCACTCCATGGAGCATATTTTCTTGAAAGCATACTGTTGATCCATCATTTCCTTTTTCAGACATATTCTCTTATTTATATGAATGTATGCAGATTTTGATAGGATAGTTGAACCTTGCCTAAACTCTCATGAAAATCTAAACTGCTGTAATACAACTAGACTAGAGTCCAAAAAATTCACTGACCAAGTTAATAGCAATCAAAAACCCATTTCCGATGTCGAAATGAGAGTAACGTGCCGGGTGCCAGTCAAAATGGCAGTTTGAAATATGGGACTGATTGAAATTCTCTTACGTTGAAAGGCAATATTAAGCAAATAAAAAAAAAGTGAAAATATTTTTTTTTGGATTACATGTAGCAAGATGTATGAAAATGAATATGCAAGACATTCTTTTTTTAAATTAGGTCTACCGGTAGATGTTTTAATTGTGTCATTTTTATTGAACCACAAATCTTTTGCTTTTAACCAGGCAGTACGATAACCATGATATTACAGTTCCTCTCAATATTTATCATGCTTTGATTTGATCAACTCTTTTCTTTTCTTTTCTTTTCCAACATTTATTGGTAGATTTTCCTACCTGTTTGTAGGATGGAAAGACAGAACAAGCTTGCAGCACTGTGCCTTCTCAGATAGTATCTGCTAATATTTAACAAATACTATTAGCATGTGGTCATTCATTCTAATAGTGATAGCTTAGGCTTTAGATAATGATACCATTCAGCAGAGGTGGATTGCCATAATGTAGGATGTCAAATGAGCAAGTAGATCAACTTTGTGGCACTCTGGCCAAATTTTACTAGCTCTTTTATGAACTTACCGTGTTGAATATACAAGATAGATATCTATTTTTGTGTGCTTACACTTGTAAAAAGCTAATTATATAACAAAGTAAATTGTTTACAAAATATATGTATATATATTTATGGAGGTAGAGTTGGATCATTGTCTGCATAATTTATTCTAATAGAGGTTGAAGTAATAATTATCCTGGTAGAATGTAGATGATTAGATGTATATATTTGCATTGTTCCTATGGGTATCAAGTATTAAGGAACATGCGGACTGTGCCTTTTGGACTTTATAGAAACTTCAGAAAGGTAGAAGGATATTTCTTATATGAGGGAAAGAGAGTGACTTTATTTCCTAGCTCAAATAAGATTGCTTTAAACATGTAGGTCAAGCTCATATGATTGTTGATTATTCTTTTGAGAGGGTATATGACTAGCTGCAACCACTCCTTGGCATGGAAACACCTCTGTCAAAACATAGTCAGCCTTATTGTCTCCCTAAAGATGCATCTTGAATGAACTGTAAGCCTTCATACCATCCATAGGTTATTAGAGCTCTTGGAAAAAATGACAAGTACATGTAGCACATTTGGAAGGACTAAACCCCCATAAATGCAGAAGATGAATATTTTCTTCAAAAGATGTAATCTCTCCCTGTTTTCAGTGAAACAGGTTGTGCGTTGAACCACAGTTAAACAAATTTTGAATTGAATTTAGGAGAGAGTGAGATATATTTCCTTTGCATTTGGGGAAAGAGAATTGTTTGAAAGACAAACTCTTGTTTTTATCTTTTGCCACGGAATACAAGTAGGCAAACCCCATTTTACTGATGTCGAAAATTATTTTCAATGGAAGACAATGTCAAGGTGTTCTCTCTGGAGACAAACACCATGGCCCGAATTCACAAAGGAGTTTTGTTGACAAACCTCCTTTGTTGATTATTATTTTGAGAGGATATATAAGCTGCAACCACTGGTTGGCGTGGAAACACCTCTTTTACATCATGTGAAATCATGTAAAATCGGGCCAATGACTGTATGAACATGACCATAGTAGTTGGAATGTGATGAAAAGGATTGCTCAGGAATTAGGTCAAAAGAGAGATGATAAAGAACATCAAAGTAGCATTCTATGTATCCACAATGCTCAGTAAATGGCGTGAAGGTAAAAAAAAAAAAACCTGTTTTGGCAAGGTATCGCAGTATCTGAGGCGAGCTTTGCTATGAAAATGAAATATGTTGAGTATGTTGGGCGATTTTTCTAGCATGTTACTCTGATGCTTGAGAAAGTGGCTTTGGCAAAGAAAGATTGAGCGCATGAAACTTACTTGTTTGGTTATATATTTCCATACCAGTGATTTATTGTGTACTTAAGTTTGCTCATATCGCTATATAAAACATTGAACTTTTATACCTTGCTTTTAGTGTATGCAGTATTTAACTGTATCCATAACAAATGATGCAAACACATTAGTAGGAAATGAAAGAAATAGACGGGAATTGTAATATCTTGTCAGATCTGATGTTACAGACAGATGAGATACCAACCGAAAGGTCGAAAATGAATTCACATTTGTTTCTTTTAGTCATTTAGTCTTTAAAAAATTATTCTGAGCTTTGCCATCAAATACTGCCAGGAAGCCTTACATACAAACAAATACCCATCTGTAGATGTATTCCAGTATGCAGGCACTATAACATTTTGGAAATATGTTTTTTCTTTCATTTTCACATTAACAGTGGGGCAAATATTGTAAAAGCACAAAAGAGATCAAGAGAAGCAACAAAATATTGTGTGCACAGTGAACATCATTACATCTATAGTGTGCACATATATATACACCATCGTACAAACTTAGGATATTCAAGCTTTCACACCTTTTGAAAAAAAATATTTTTGGCTACAAGGTTGATTAAAGAAGACAAAAATGTATTTATCCGGAGAAAAAAACGAAACGTTTGAAAGAAATCCTTTTACAACTTGCTTGCACAACAAATTTAAATTGTAGAGTATGTTGCCTTGTGAATAATGTAAGACCTCCATGTACATCATTATTATTCTGTTTCTATACCGGTACACCATTAATTTTATTTTATTTGGTTTATTCACTGCTCATTTGGTCATTTATTTGGTGCTTATAATGCTTGAAAATACTAGTTCAATGCAAAACAAGGTCAAACTAGATACAAGGTACATGTTAATCATAGGTATGCTGATGAACAAATGAGATTTAAATCTCTTGGGGGAAAAAACCCCAACAAATAAACAAGATGTAGCTTGATACAGCTGCATAGCAAAGACACAGTGTATATTCATGCAAGGTTGTCTAATATTTGGTGTAAAGATATACACAACTATAGACTCAGTACTGGTCATTGATTTTTCACACTATTTCATTCACAGGTTTGTAGATCTGTGTGCTGCATCATGGGTGCTTTCTCACTGTCGCCTTATTGAGTTCACTTTTCAAAATTATGTAGAAAACTCAAAGATCAAGCATTGTCAGGCTAATGGAATGCTGCTTGAAAGTCTAACAGATTTGTCCGTGGCCCAGGTCTTGAATTAGTAAATTATGCACCTTGAAATTTAGAATTCTATCAGGGCTATTAGTTTTATTAATGTACCGGTCGTCTGTTGTATTATCAGGGTACATGTGGAAACTAATCCACTACGTTGCTAATACTACCCAATCTTAACATTTGTAGTTTCCTTCCTGCATGTGTAGCTAATTGTTCTGGACAGTGTGAACACATTCTCCCTTCCTTTAATAGTCCTGGCTACTATGCTTCAGACTGTGAACACATCCTTCCTTTGTCTCGCTCTATCACACCTTCGTTTCCTTTTCCTGTGTGAAATAGACAAGGACATTGATTTATCCAGTTCTTATTGCCATGGTGACACACCTCCGGTACATGAAGGGGTTTATACATTTATTCAAGCACAGAAAGTAAATAACATATACGGTACTCATATATATATCTTTTTATAAATATTTTAATTCAAGTGCCCAGTCTATATTTACAAGATGGTTGCCTAAAATAAAAATATCTAGTTGTAACAGGAGAACAAGAACAACAACAAATATGGAATGTTATATTTAAAATGACCTGCATTTATGTGTTCATTTGCACCAATTTGCACCATCCATGCCAAATTAAGCCCATCAATCTATTATTACAAGGGTTTTGGGTCAAGTTATTGTAATTTATTTATTTAGTGGAATCAGTATTTCTATCTAATCTGTGTGAAAGTAATGGTGCATATTTTTATTGAAGTAGATTATTGTGAAAGATGATGTGTGAGAGTATCATTTTATTGGATACCCTTCATAAAACTGATAAGAAGCCAACAACGGTTTCATCTCTTGATAGATATATAAACAATATAATCTTGCATTTGGTGAATTGCAGATCGAGAGAATTTCAGGGAAAAACATTATTTTGAGAGATTCCTCCCCCCCCCCTCAAAATGAGTAGTACCATGCAAGGTAAAGTGTTCTTGAAGGGCTACCGGTATAGCCTTACAGCTGGGAAAAGGGAAGGAGACAGGCTGCATAATAAGCTCAAACATGGCAATATATTTTGTATGTTATTGGTACTCGGTATGATGCCCAACACTGATTTCAGTCATGTTTAATGTAAGTCTTGGTGAGAAAAGAAAAAGTAAACTGCAATTAAAAAAAGACATATTTCTGCCAGTCATTGGACCCATCCTCCCTTACATTACACGAGTCATTTGCATTTGACAATCTAAAGAGAAATATTTTTCTAGTGACTAGAATATACACTTGTTGCCATATATATCAATCCTCTTTTTGTAACTCTAAATTAATCATAAACATGTACTCGTGATCATATCCATAGATCTATAGATTGTGTTGTATTAAATTTGTACTGTGTTGTTTAATCCTTGAATTGCTATAAAAACAAACGAAAGTTTGTGGATTTTGTCTTCATGTATGACTTAATAGGTGCATGTGCATTACTTTTGTAAAGAATCAGTATTATAAGAAACTTTTAGAAGAAAGGGGAATAGTCAATAGTACCACAACATTTGTATGCCTGTAGATACGTGAACATGTATAACATTAAACTAGTGACTTTAAGTTCTATCGGAAGTACCACATGTTTGTTTTTAACCATAGCTTTCAACACCACATACCCAAAAAGCTCTCAGACTCAGACTGGCCTCAAAGTTTAACCTCATAGTTTGAGCATCCCTGCTCAGGATACGACAGTAAACTATAAATGTAATATGCAGAAGTGCAGTACAAGGAATGCCAAAATTTATACCAGTTCACATGGGAGACGTTAAACCACTTAAAACTACATTTACCTATGATGGCAAAAGTGAGATGCATTTAAATAACCTCCACATATACATGTATCTGTTTAGTATAACACAAAGATCATTGAGTGCGAGTAGAATATTTTCTGGCAATTTTTTTTCTTCACCCCACGGTATTGCATCTTGACGTTCATGTACACACACAGTGATGTTAAAGTTGTATTTTTTTCTAGGCTGTTTAAAGTTTTTATGATTGTCTCATCATGACTGTCTCAGGGTATCGTGACTGGGCTCAATCTCAAAAGGTATATTTTTTTAATGGAAAGGAAGAGATGAAATAAGGTGAAATATATAACCCTGTGTGTAGCTTTCTAGGGCCTAATCATTGATTTTGGAGATTGTGCACACAGTGTGTGCGGGCAAGTATTGAAATCCAATGACAGGGTTGCTAGTATATCTCTAAAGCGCCTAGAGACATCGTAGATGTATTAAGCGCTATAAAGATAACGCACCTTGAAGAGTTATTATAAATTGAACACATTATCACTACGATATCATTGCATTTGTTGGGGTTTCATGAGCCTATGTTTGCATTGTGTATGGGCTATCTTTCAAGTTTTAAAGCTACATTTGAAAGTTCAGATCAAATTGATGGAGACGGTCAAGAGAATGATTGCTATATTTATCATGTATTTGAATTTTGTGCAATTCAGTGCTGGAATTTGGATTATGAAATATCTTCGATTTTACATGTACCATGTGTGTAATCTGCTTTAAGAAGAAATCTACTGGATGTAGGAAGTTGGTTTGTAGACGGTCCCATTTTTCTACAATAATAAGGCGATGTTTCTTTTCTTTTCTTTTTAAAACTGTTTTGAGCTCCATATGAGATTAAAAGAAAATGAAGTGTTAGAACAAATCTGTGTGATATATTATTTTGAGTCATTATGGCTGTAATATGTTCCAAGACATTTCATATATGCTTTTGAATATATACCGTACACAAAATAAAAATAAAACTGTTATTGAATAGTGGTTTCCTACTTTTGAGTTGAATTCCTTACAACAATGAACAAATGTGTGTCTTACATGTAGAATATTACATATGACTTGATAGTGCAGTAATTTGGAAAGTGATGTGCACCTTGTTTATCTGACATGCTTATGACAAGAGAGGGAGGGCTGCACTTTTGCTACATGTTTCATTTCACTATAATGTACATTTCATAAGTTTACATTTAAAATACCATTAAATATTGGTTGGAATGCTGAAGAGGAAGAATAAGAACAATATTTTTTAAATCCAAGTGTTTCTGTGGAACAGGTGTTCTTGACGTACAGTCAACTTATAAAATACAAAGTATAACTGCTCAAGGAATAATGAACATTTTTGTTTGTACAAGTTGCTGCCAGGGCAGTTTTGTTTGTAACTTTCTTTGCTGTTTATTTGGAATAGTAATAGTTGCTTAGTACTAGATGTGAATTTTAACCTAGAAATGTTCAATAGGGTCATATATTACATATGTTAATACATGGATGACACTGCCTAGTCTTGCACATGAACTATTTAACTATTAAAAATATTGCCTAGGTCTCATTTTGGGGGAAAATAAAATTTACTATCACATTTTTGTATATAAGTCTTGTTTCAGTGTGTGATTATTTTGTCTTCGCCCATAGCATTTGCTGTAAGTTGTATTTGAAATGAGATAGAAGAAAGAGATATCATTGTCATCATTTTATCAAGTATTTATTGTAAGAAATGTAATAGATTTTACATCTTGAGCAAATATCATATCCATCGATGAAAAAGCAAATAGGGGCACTGGCATAATTTCTTTTTCCTTTATTAGAGCTATTTGATTTGATGGGGGAGGGGGAGGACACATGCCTCCCATGCCCATCCATCCCCAGATTGGAATGCATACAATTTCTCAAGAGGCTGGCCAAGTCCTAATATTACATCAATCTCTAGGAAGTTGGAATTCTCTAATTATCTAAATTGAATGTATGTCAAGGAGCATGGTACATATTTAGGTCATATGCATCAGTATAAAGGGGCAAAATACATTTAATGTTTAATTAACCGAAGCCAATAATGGTAATACTAACTACATGTATGTATTATAAGACACAGACTTTTGGAGTGTATGAAAGTATATGTCATCTCACAAAAATATGCCATTGTTAATACTAATAGATCATTCTACAAGTACAAATATGGGACCAAAATAAGGGTATACCCTTTAGCTGGGGAAAGTTTAACAGGAAGCCCAAAGGAGAGTTCAAGCCAGTGATCTTCCGACTTAAAATATTGTTTTGTCTTCACACTTTTACATATTAATCACTCAGAGTACCATTTCATCCACTGAGAGAGTCAGGAGGGCGTCGACTAATATCATTCAACACAGTCAACATCCTTCTGGCTCTCAACATATGATATAAGATCTATGAGGAATACAATGTGGGGCACTGTTTCATAAAAAAATTGATACCATATTAACAAGTTACAATAACTGTTATAAGCTACTGAAATTGTGGCATCTGTTTGGCTGAGAGTAAATTTATCATAGAAAATAAGAAATTTAGCATTTGTATTGATAACATGTTTTATGAAACCGGGGCCCAGGTGTTAAAATCACACCACACTGAGCTAAGCACAGATTCTCTGTAAACAAAGGAATCAAATAGGCAATCCAGTCCTTTCTGCACCACCATCCCTGGTCCATGTGCAATATAAAATAGGGTGAACATGAATGCATTTGAGCTGTTTAAGAATCTTTGCTATCCTCGATATCCTGTGAATACCAGGCAGACACAGTTGCCTCTTTGATGGTTAAAACTGGAGCAAATCTGCTTACTTCCTGAACACATATTTTATTTGAAAAAAGGGTTTGTTTAAAATCCTCCATGCATTTCACCATCAAAATCTGATAGTTGAGAAACTTTGCCACTTACCAAAACTTACACAATGGAGGGTTTATTCCTCAGGGAAGTATGTTCATTAGGGAGATACTATTTAACTTTTTAAATAAGATATACATTGCATGTCTCTTTTAGTGGAGTGAGTTAAATACTGATGGAAATTCCGGACTCTCCGGAGCAAATGAATCCATCACTAATTGGTGTAGAGATAAAGAAAAAAAACAACTAAATAATCATTGACTCATGCTCTATGATCATATTGGGTATTGTTTACATGAAAAATAAATATATTTGTAAAGAGAAAATATCCCCACTATATAAATGAAAATAGAAGAAGCTGGCTATGAAGATGATTTTTGTATTTGTTTCTGTTTCATTGAGTTTTGACATATATGCAAAAGGATAATGTCAAGGAAGATGTCGCTCAATGAATCTCTGTCTTCATGATGATGCTGTAAAAACACAAAACATGTAAATATTTCCTTGGATGACTCTGTTGCAAATATGACAATGATGAAAATTTAGATTTGGTGCCCATATTTTACTCAGTAAACAGACAAGAGTTTGGGCAGCAATGGCACTCTATCATTCCATAGGCTTTTCATTTGGCGTCCACTTTTCATAATCGTCCAATTCCTCATTGTCTGTTCTTGATGGTAACACATCACTGCCATCTTCTTTGTTTCCTCGTTCTTTTATTCTATACACCTCATCCACTTCAGCTGCACCCTCATCATCATCAAAGTACTTCTCTTCCTCATCCCATCCACGAATCGCCAGTGAGTCGTACTCCGTGTTGTTGTCAACCGCTCCGTAGTCAAAGTCTTGATCGCCTCCACTGAGGAACCTCTCCCTCATTATGTTTTGGAACTCTTCTCGCAGGAGGTGCTTCTCTGCTTCCGTGGCAGGGGTTGGTTGGCGCCGAGTCATGGGTGCCACATCTTCATCCATCATTTCATCTTCCTCCTCCTCCTCCTCTTCCTCATCATTGGCATCTCTCCCGACATTGTTTTGTAGGGGATGATCCATGCCCTTGGAATGACCTGAAAACAACAACCAAATAAAAGTGTGTTTGAGAATGTTTAGATCCTGTATACAAAGCTCTAAATTAGATTGTCTTTCAAATGCCGTTGGAATTTAGCCTTGTCATGTTTTTGGCCTGCAAATGGGACATAGTACCTTTAAATGATCATGACAATCAAATAACAAAATTAAAAAACAACAACAACTACTATCACTTATTGCATTTATTAGGGACACAAAATTCTGCAAAGCTGTGAAGAAAGATATATGAAGTATGCTTCTTAAAGGCAATGTGATACTATGTAAATCTTGTTTGCCATCTCAACTTGATCATGATGGGTGTGATATGATTAATGCACTTGTTATTTTCCCACACAAATATACAATTAATATAACTCCACGCTTACTCCAGTCAAAATTATTGACCAGATTTGATGAAGACAAAGACATTACACTGGACAATAAATTATTCTTTATTCTTATTACTGAGAAATCAATCATCACCTGTTCCTTTAAAGGTAAAGACCAGTTATGGTCATGCGATTGCATTGTGAAAGAAACGTTGTGGAATCAATCAGAAAAGGTTGATCATCTAGCATCTAGCATCTGCAAGGTTCTGGAATCATCAAAATGATAAGAAATTTGGCCCATTCTTCGTAAAGTTACAAGCACTATACACAGAAAGATGTATATGGGACTATCCTATATCTCTCATAGTCCATGAGAGAAACAAATTTACCAAATATATGAATTAGTAGGCGGTTTCCTGGCAAATTTTTTATCATCCTGTATCAGTCAAAACATATTCTTTCACATGATTGGTAATGAGAGCTTCCATTTCATTTTTTGAAATTGGGGCATTTCCAATACTGGTCTTTACCTTTAACATCTGCCTTCTTCTCCTCCTTCTCGTCCTTGTCTTCGTCCTCTTCTTCTTCTTCTTCTTCTTCTTCTTCTTCTTCTTCTTTTGCCCCTTCCTCTTGATCCTGTTGTCTCTTGTAAAACTTTTTTATTTCCTGATCCTGCAGGAATGACATGAGGATCGTTGAAAACTTCAAGTCTGTCTGGTCAATTTTAGTCCTAGTCTCCAAACGCTCTTCATCCGTCAGATACTGTCCAATAAGCTGTTCGTACATGAGAGGATCTCTGGCTCTCATCTCGTCATCACTTAAATAACTCCCCTCCTTCTCCAATTTCTTGAGCGCTTCATAACGTCGGTTCTTCACGACCACAGACATTTTTCCAGCACCGAGTCTCCTCTTAGCTTCCTTGAGGTAAAACGATACCTCATACACATCAGAGACAGGGTTGAAACAAATGAGGTCGTCTTCACATAGGTATGGGTGGAAATTTTCAATGAATACTGCAGGAGAATGGTGAAACTGTTCAGAGAGGATTTTGATTCTTTCCCTTGTTGATAGTTCCACATCATCTCGTTGCTGGTTCTTGATGCGGGCATTGCTTAGTGCAATGTTCTCAAACATTCGAAGTTGGGCATTCAGCAGTTCATCATCATTTGGGTGGTCTGAGGTGTCTGGTTTAGGAGCTGTTATTGCTTCCATACTTTCTGGAACTTGGTTACTTTCCATACTGGAGACTGCATTTACCGGTATGTTTCCCTTTGATGTAGAAAATGACACAAAACATTTATTATAACATAAGTAATACAATAAATTAAAATGAAGATCTTTATCGTAATTACATACCATGAGTCATGAGCAGTAACAGTACCTATGCACAAATAGGTGTGGATGAGTACTAATATTTACGTATCAATCAAAAGTACACTCGTACTAGGGATTGAAAGTCTGCACTGTACAGTCTGTACATGGAGGCTTTAGTGTTAAAGGTAATACAAAGTTTTGGGAAATATTGAAAATTGGCTGGATAGTGATTCTTCACAGTTTTGATATATTTGGATGTATTATAAGCACTAGACCGAATTTTCCGTCTCTTTCGTTCGTTAGCCTCTTATTGGGGTAGGGTCGGCCGGCTCTCTCTTTAGAGACGGAAACCGTCTATACACATTCCCTTGATAACGCCACGGCCATTTCAGGTCGTAGCATTTTGCCCCCAAAATCCCCCAAAATGTCATTTTACCTCGTGCATTTTATATTGTAAATTAGGCCTAGGCTATAATAAATCAGTTCCACTTACCAACTTGACTGAAATAATCAGTTTAATAGTCCCTTTTTAGGAATTTATGGGTCAAAATCGAAATCCATGTTGAAAAAGATTTTCAAAATGGATTTCGATTTTGACCCATAATTTCCTAAAAAGGGACTATTAAACTGATTATTTCAGTCAAGTTGGTAAGTGGAACTGATTTATTATAGCCTAGGCCTAATTTACAATATAAAATGCACGAGGTAAAATTACATTTTGGGGGATTTTGGGGGCAAAACGCTACGACCTGAAATGGCCGTGGCGTTATCAAGGGAATGTGTATAGACGGTTTCCGTCTCTAAAGAGAGAGCCGGCCGACCCTACCCCAATAAGAGGCTAACGAACGAAAGAGACGGAAAATTCGGTCTATATAAGCACTAGAAAATTTAGCCCCTAAAATAATTCTGCTTTCGAGAAAAATGGTATATAAAAATTTCAAATAGCGCCTACGGCCATACAATGGTAGCTGCAACCATGACAATTTCAGAATATGTAGTTGTGATACATACTTTTCAGAAGGGAATAGCCAATCGGTCTATTTTAGTCAAGAAACATTGTTTTATAGCTTAATTAATATCTTGACCTTAAGAGGGAGCTATACAACATAAAGAGTTTATTATTCACAATTTCATAACTTTAGACTCAATTTCATAACGAGGATCGGAGACATTATGGTAAATAACTTCACACAGGCGCGAGCCCGCCCGTAACCCACCATCGGTATATAGTCTACTTGTAATGTGCAGCAGTTTGCTGTGAAACCTGTGAAAAAGTAAATAGACCTATTCAACGTTTATCCGAAAAATACTCCAAAAATAACAAGAAAATTGACACGAAACAGGTAATAAACATAACGACTTTTAACTCATGATCTTTATTTGGACATTTAATGAATATTTACTTCATTTTGGTATGTTTCAGTAGGGTATCTCCACGCCAGAGTTACGGGTCAAATTTGGATAGGTTTCTGAACAAGCGCCGAATTCGAATTCGTGCATCATAAACAAGCGTAAGCGATGCCCAAATAGGTGGACACAATTATGAGTACGTGGGACAGCACAAAAGGTTAGTACTTAAAATGCATACAAATAACACATTCAAATGGACATAAACTATGACATTCTTCCTATATTTTTAATACCACTAACCTCATCTCTCATTTAAAAGACATTAGATCACAGATACACGGGCGCAGAGATTTACTTCGCCGTCGGAAACGAGTCGTTGTCGATGAGACCTCTTGAAAAGGTGGATGATGTCTAAGATGATGTACTTTTACGTTTGAACGGATATGCCTAAGCCTACGTACCATACCACCAGGGGCGGCGGCGGCGGTGGGGAGGGGAAGGGGAGGGGGAGGGGGGAGGGGGGGAGGGGGAGGGGGGGGGGAGGGGGGAGGGGGAGGGGGGGGGGGGGAGGGGGGAGGGGAAACCAACAAATAAGGACCCTTTCTGGAGGGAAAAGGGCATCTTGAAAGGGATACCTCAGGCTCAAGCGAAAATAAGCAATTTTTTAGACATTGCATTGTGATTATATTATCATGGATGATTTAATTCAATTATGTTTGTATCGGGCATCATACTTTGCAGTTGGGTGTGATATGGCAGGCGCGGATCCAGGATTTTCCAATAGGGGGGGGGGGGGGGGGGGCCCGGAAATTTGAACATTGCGCAGACCGTTTTTTCAACTCGACGTACCAATATAGTAGAGGCTACTATGAAATCCCGTGAGATAATCGTGCCAAAATTGATTTTTTTTGGCTAACTTTGTCAATTTGGGGGTGCTGAATCCAAAAAACTTTGGTACCATTTTTTTCGACCACGTCTTAGGCGGCCATTTTGAATTTCAAAATGGCCACCATAAAAAATGCATTTTTTACCATTATTTCATATTATAGACATTGGAGAAGGTGCAAATGTGGGATAAAATGTATGCTTATGATGTCTGATATATCAATACACATTTTTATAAAATTTTGCTTTATTTCGATTGGCCGCCATCTTGAAATTCAAAATGGCCGCCATTGCTAATCCTATTTTATCTCATGTCTCAAGTTATAAGCACCTGGAAAGGTTTGTACCGTAACAGTATCATAATATTGATGGTATGTGTGTTTTCAAACAAAACACAAGCTCCCAGTAACTGACCATTCGAATTGGCCACCATTTTGAAATTCAAAATGGCCGCCATGGAATAACATTTGCTATATTAATTCATTTGAAAGTACCTTAGAATCATCCATTTTGAGAGATCATCTGTATTTAAAGCTTGCAGGACCTGGTACTTAGAATACCGGCTGTCATCTTGATCATCGTATATATGCCTAAACGCATCACCCCCCCCCCCCCTTCTTCCACCCGGGGGGGGGGGGCTTAATTATAACATATAACAGTTACTGAATGTGGTGTTAAAGAAAAACTAGAAAAATAAATGCCTTGGACTGGACGTATTAAAACTTCAGTGTGCAAATACAGGCCTGTTATTCCAGAGATAAGACATGATGAGACACGCATCACATCAGAATGCAGTATCACGTGTCTATGCAGATTGCCAGCATACATCTTTGATATGACATGTGCTCCCCATGTGCTCTCACCCACGTGGATGTATGTGTATAGATACACTATGTAAGTCTGTGTCCCATACAGATTACACACAACTGACGGATTGTTTTACTGTCCCACTAAACCTATTTACTTGTGTAAAGACTCAAGACCTCTACAATGTTCTTCTATGCATTCTGATTTTGTCAGAGCAGCTGTCACCATACCACATGATTTGAGAGGTAGGCCTTTTAAACTATTAAATTTGCCTACAATGTACATTTACCTTTGTTGATAAACAGATGTCAGTTGCTGTTGTTTTATAAGAATGTTTAAATAGACATTTGAATATGTGTAATGTGAAGTATTCTCTTTGCTCAAAGTCAATGATGTTACCATCTCGCACATACGTACTGTACAGTAGCTATTTGTATCTGTGTTATTTCCTATGAGTGCTGGGTGTTGAACAGTTTATCAAAGTTATTATAATTAACCCAAAATGATCGGAATAGGCTCCAAGGGAAGCAAATTTATCAATGATGTATTTGTGATCCCTACAATAACAGTGTTTATCATAATGGAATCTAGGGGGAAATTTTTATGCCAACATGGACATCTTAATTCACTACAAACTAGTAACAGATTAGTGAATCTGTAAACAATTGATGCATAATCTTTGCTGTTTTTCCCCTTCACTCCCTTCAGGGTCTGATTCAGATCTTAAATGATGAAAGAGTGGATATGAGGAAACAAAACTGTCACATGTGTGTCAATTTCCAGGTTAGCCAAGAGAGAACATAAATGATTCATTATTTTTTTATCTTTTCAATACAAAAGTGAGTGATGCATTAATGAATGAATCAAAAATATATTGAAATCTTACTGAAATAAGATTTTGTGAATAAACGTCAACAATACATTACAAACGATTTACACTCCACCTTTATGCTGTCATTGTTATGACTTCATTAATTTGCTCGAAATGAAAGAAAATCTAAAGCTCATTCAGTCATCCGGTCTCTTTCCAGGACTGAACGAGCAGACAAGATGGAGACCTCCGGCCGAAGTTCAAATAAGTGTATCGTATGTTTGCAAGCTGATGAATCAACGCAAATGAACTTGACACCATCCAAATCATCCCTAGAAAAACTCAAAGACTTTGCAAAAAAACGCTCTTCTTTGGGGGAAACTACGATTTCTCCTGTTTGGGAAAGGATAGTAAGTCTTACAGATGAACAATATTTTCAGTCTGTTTTTCATTGGGCATGCTACAAACAGATTGTAAATAATGCGAAGTTGAAAAGGGCAGAGAAAAGGGTTCTTGATGCATCATCATCATCATCAAAGACAGCAGTCCAACCAAAGAAAGGACGGCCTTCAAGATCGGTTTCACCGTCATGCAGCAAAGGAGATGTACCAGGGCGACTAAGAAGATCAAGCTCTGCACCGAATGCCAAAAATTGTGTGTTTCAATGCAAAAATGCACATAGTGGTGAACTACATAGAGTAGAAACAGAGTCTATGGGGAGAAGATTAATGTTCATCAAATCAAACACAAAAGATGAAAAATTACGTGTGGCGTTAGCTCATGTTAATGAGCCTACAGATTGTTCTGCATTTGACTTGATGTATCACAGAAATTGTCTAAGGGATCATGAGCGAAAGGTACAGGGCTACTCCAACTCAGAGATGAGGTCCAAATTAAACATTGGCAAACATATTGCTGATATTGACATATTGAATGCTGTGAAATGTTCTTTGAATGAAGGGTTTACTGTGACGATGAATGAAGTTAATGAGTTGTACGTTTCATTCCTTGCTGACAATGACATCGACCCCGGACCTTATCACCACAAAAAACACCTGAAAGCAATAATATCAGAAAACATTGAAGGAGTAAATTTCATAAAATCACATCGTGCCAATGAAAGTGAACTTCTCGTAGGTGAAAAGCTGCTTGGAAAAACTGTTTCTGAACTTCATGAGCAACAAACAGAAGAAGCTGATGTTGAATGTCTTCAGGAAGCAGCTACGATACTAAGAAAGGCACTTGCATCTTCATCTGCTAAATGGAAATTTACAGGTATCCAGTCGATGTCAGAATTTCAGCATCCTCCTCTACTGACCAGTTTCCTTCGTTGGGTTCTCTTTGGCACAAAATGCGTAGGCATTAAGGGAAGACGTAGCCAATCATCAAGAAAAGCAGTCAATCTTATGGCGCAGCAAATGTTGCTTAACTTCAAGACTGACCGTCAAGCAGCATATTCACCAGAATCAGATGCCGAATTCAGAAGGAGGCATGAAACGCCGTTATCAGTAGGATTGGCACTCACAATACACAAGAAGACAAGAAGTAAAGATCTAGTTGATCTTTTATCCCATTTGAACATTGGATGCTCGTATGATAAGGTGCTGCAAATTGAAAAGCGGATTGCCAGTGGAGTTGCAGAAAGGATGGAGACATCTGGTGGGTTTTGTTTGCCACCTTTCATTGAGAAAGGAAAGTCTCTATTTTTCGCAGCGGACAATATTGACTTCCTTGAAAACACTGCCGACGGTCAGAACACTCTCCATGGTACCATTCTGGTAATCAATCAGAACCAGGGTGGGGATAGTGACTCAACCACAGGTCTCCCGGTCAGTGAACCACTCCGGATTCCAGACGATGTCAAACCCATTGATGTAGACATCAAACTACAGCATCCACCATCTCTTGAAGTCAAAACAATCACTGCCAGTTCATTTGAGTTTGGCTCCTTTCAGCATGCCATCAGCGAAAATGAGATGTATGACAAGGCGTGGTTCATGGCATCCTTTTCTACAAGGTCAAATACAACTTCAAGTGCAACACACCCTGTAGCTGCAAATGAATCTCTACACATTGATATTTCTCAACTGACTGAGCCTCTTGATAGTCAATCACCGCTTACAGAACAATCAAGTGATGATGAGACTAGCCTCCACGTCCATTCTGATCAGAACAGTGATACACAACCTGAGGGCGAGCAATCTTTGGAGTCGGTTACTTCAGGTGCAACTTTTGAACATTACCTTGTTTCGGATATTGAACAGCCTATGGCAATGACAACTTCTAGTCTAGACAATTCAGGTGGGAATTCCAGAGTCCATGGAATTGAACAAAGTGAAGGAAGCACTAAAACTTCTGAAGGACCTGGTGTACACTCATCAGCCAAAGCACTGAAGAAGACAGTAGTGCCAACCTGGGCAGCCACCAATTCCTTACTCGTTCAGGCACAGCAGAAAGGAAATCAATCCTTGACAAAGAGTGCGATTGTTGCTCCTCTGTTACGCCGACCTCCCACTGACTATTCATCTCTCTTTACAATCTTAAGTCTTGCTCAAGGGATATCAGCTGCTGTGGTTGGTCCTCATAAGAAAACAGTCATCACCCTTGATCTTGATTTGTATGAGAGAGCAACCAAACTTCAATCTTCCACAGGGAACAAGAACTGGATTCTTCGAATTGGTGAACTCCATGCCTGCTTCGCATCACTGCATGCAATTGCAAAATATCTCGAGGACAGTGGCCTGGAATCTATTAGCATTGAAGCAGGCCTCTTTTCCCCTTCAACGATCCGCCAAATATTCACTGGAAAGTGGTTCAAACGTGGTATTGAATTCCACATGACCAACATCATGGCGTGCTATGATCTCCTGTTTGAAGCATCAGTACATCATGAGCACTTGGACAGCATGATTAAGAAATGCGAAGAGCTTCGTAAG